AGCGGGGTGGCAGCGCAGAGGGACAGAGGAGCATGCACAGCCTCACCATGCCATAACATCAGCATACGCTGGGAAGAAGGCGTAGGTGGAAAGGCACGATGCTGTGTGCCTGCTGCTGGATATGAAGCAGGCGTGACTGTCCTAATGAGTGCACATCCTTCTGTGAATGGCCCAAGGACATTAGAAGTCAGACACTTGCAGCCAGGGCTCCTGTGCAACACTGCCTCAAGGAGGATGCATGAGCAGCAGGTGGAGAGCCAGGAGTGGCCTCAAGCAGGAGAGACTCGTCACCATGCTCTCAGGCCCAGCTGGGAATCTGTACTTTTCCAGAAGTGTCCTACGGGCTCCCTGCAGTCCTGGACAGTCCACATTTACATTCTTCCAGTTTATTTCTACAGATATAAACTCATTTGTGCAGCAGAGAGCACAGCGTGAGATGGGCAGGAGATGGTGGGGCCTCTAAGGTCAGGGCCACTGCCCCTCCAAGGACTTGGGCTGAGGCTTCCTTCCTCCATTCCCTCCAGAATATTGACTCCTATTTGCAGAAGTGACTGCCAGGGTGCGTGCGTCCACAGGTCGGAGCACCTGGACTATGGCTCCCTAAGGAGGTTTCCAGGGGCCTCCAGAAAGCTCCTGTGGTGTGTGCGCAGGTCTTGCCGGGAGGGTGGTTAAAACGGTGAAAGGTGAAAGGCCAGGCGCAGCACTGTAGCACCGAGTACCCATGTGGAAAGGCTGGCCCACCCTCTGCTCCGATGGGATTAAGGGCTCAGGATGTCCACCCGCTGATGGCTCCCTTTTGGCCTCTGCTTCTAGATTCAACAAGGACATTGAGTTTATGATTGGCCACAAGCCCAACATCTTCTGGCAAATCACGTGGAGGGTGGTCAGTCCACTGCTCATGCTGGTCATCTTCCTGTTCTTCTTCGTGGTCAGTGTCAACCAGGAACTGATATACAGCGTCTGGGATCCTGCATATGTGAGTGTGCAGGGACCACTGGGTGAGGGAGTGGGGGTCATGGTCTCTGTGAGGAGGCATGTGGGAAGGGAGGAGGTGGGGCATACATGGGGGCAGGAGGATGTGCGGAAGGTGTGGGGGCAGAGGGAGTAAGGGAGACGTGGGAGACAGAGGAGGGGGAGGAGGCATGGGAAGCAGGGTCCCTGTGAGGAGGTGTGTGGGGGTGGAGGAGACTTGACTCTCCCCTCCCCCACAAAGACCAGGAGGTGAGAATCGGGGAGAAGGGGGTACTGTGCACCTAAAAGAGACCCTGCTGGCTGTCTTTGTGTTTATTCACCCTGTGGTTGCTCCCTCCCCAGGAGGAATTTCCCAAATCCCACAAAGTCTCCTACCCGAACTGGGCATACGGTGTGGTGGTCATCATTGCTGGCGTGCCCTGCCTCAGCATCCCTGGCTTTGCCGTCTACAAGCTCATCAGGAACCACTGCCAGAAGCGAAAAAGCGAGCAGGGGCTGGTCAGCACCATGTCCACAGCCTCCATAAACGGGGACCTGAAGTACTGAGTGCCCCGCCCATGGTGCATGGGTGCACGTACATATGCATGTGTGAGCATGTGAGTGTGCACATGGGTGAGAGTGTGCATATATACATGTGCATGCGTATTGTACATGTGTACATATGCCTAAGTTATATGTACACAGATATGTGTGCACACATGAATGTGTATACCTGTGCTTCTGTGTATATGCCTATGTAATTTTGTGTACATATACATGAGAGCACACACTTGTGTTAGCATGTATACACATATGTATGTGTATGGGTGTGCACACACATTCGAGTATGTGTATGCGAGTAGACATGTGCAAGCATGTGTGTATACACATGCATGTACGTGTGTGTATATGTGTATGTGTGTGCCCATGCAAGTTATGTATTTATAAATGTGTGAATATGTGTGTGCTATGTATAGTGTGCTGTGTGCATGTAAGTGTATATTTCGAAGTGTGCATGTGTATTTGTGTGTACATGTATACAACATGTGCACAGATGTGAGTGCATGTGTGTGCATGCATATGTGTGTACACATGCATGTTGCCTTGCAGCATAAAGTCTCCCATGTGGGGCCTGGCTGCCCTCTTGGTTCCCCAGGTCACAGATGTGGTGGGGCTTATGCTCAGGTCCTACCCTGCCTTCCAAGGGAAAGTCAATCAACAGGGAGGACACATCCCCTGGGAGATGGGAATGTGTTGCTGTCTTGGATCCTTGGAACAGTCTTGTTTGCCCCTCCCCATCACTCTGCTGTCGACCCCATGACCTAGGAGCTCCTGCAATAATGTTGCAGTTTTACTCCATGATGAGGAGCCCCGTCTGCAAAAGGCCATGAGTCCTAGGCCTGTGAGACCTGCGTGCCTGCCCGCCAGCAAAGAGCTCCTGAGTCTTGGCAAAGTGCTGGCTTAATAAACATTAACCCATTTAATCATTGCTTCTGGCTGCCACAAATAGATGACAGTTAAATAAAACTGAACCTGGCATAGTTTAAGGCAGAAACTCCCTTTGTGTTTTTTAAGAGGACATTAACTGTGAATTTTTAGCCCGATATTGGAAAAGATGGGTTATAGGGTAACTCGACCTTGGACAGAGGTTGAGGGCAATGCATATGTCCCGAGCAATGTCAGGGGCTGTGAAGTCCTTGGCAGACCACTCGCTTGATGCCACTCAGTGAAGGGAAGGTCCCTTCTCCCTTCATAGAAAGGGCCGTTTCCTGAGATTCAACAGTCAACCTCAGCCGAAGTCACTTGGCACTTGGGGTGTTTATTTCAATGAACTGGTCACTTCCATGTTCCATGGAAACATCTGGAAGTTTAGGTTAAACTGGACTTTCTGAGCATTCTCTGGGCAGGGATGGGACTGCTGAGTGGAGGGTGGGTCCTGGAGCCATCTGTCTGTCCACCGGGGATGCCCCCTGCCCTCTTCCCGCTCCCAGCGCCTCCTGTCCAACAGTGACCGCAGATTTTAGCCCTGAAGCCCGACTGAGAACCTCAAAACACCTTGGTGTGTCTGGAGTCTTCTTACGTGGCCAGGTACCTGGACGTCGTGATCCACAGAAAACCCAGAGGTAGAATGGGAGGCCGCTCCACAGACTTCCACCCTGGGCCACGACAGCACGTCCCTGCACAGGAAGCCCACGGTTCCCACGCTGCTCTGGTCTCCACCTCCAGGGGCCGAAGGTTCCGGGGGACCTCAACTCCCTGTCTCCACAAAGTCTTCTGACCCTTGATTGGGAAAATGCTCATCAGTATCCCGTCGATGCACTGTCTTACCCGAGGGTGCAAGAGAGGAGACGCCGGGCGGGGCTAATCCCATCGGTTTATGTCCCCTGAGGAGTGCCTCATTCTACAGACTTGCTATCTTTGCGAATTGTGAGATACGCAGGTTTCACGAGCATAAAGTGTACCTATCTAAATAAATCACTGTATTTCCTATTCTCAGCCTGAATGTCCGCATGCAGAGGGATCAGCAGAGGGAACAGCCGAGCCGGGGCTTCCTCTGAAGAAGCTACAATGTGGCGTTCTCAGCCCAAGGCTTGGGGGGGGGGGTGCCCACTGCCCAGGTGCCCTGTGAGCACAGGCTGGGTGGGCCCTGGCCTCCGGGTGTGAGAGATGTCGTGGAGGTCAGCTGGGTTGCGAGCCGGGATAGGGAGTAAGAAGGACGTGGGAAAAGCCCCTACAGGTGCTTCAGGCTGGACCACACAGCCCCCTTCCCCCAGCTCCTCCCCTCCCTTTCCATCTGCTTTGATTCTCCTCTTTGTCACTCTTCCCTCTCACGCCAAAAGGAATCTTTTTAAACTGTGTCCATGAGGCCCACGCTTCCAGGACCCACCTACTTGGGATGTGGCCACACATTTGAAAGATGCAGTTCCTGGGGAAGTAAGAACTGTGAATTTGGGGCCTTGGCCTGTCTTGGTGGAAGAATCTGCGATGAGGGGAGGGGCTACCTGTCCAGGGAGCCCCCAGTGGGAGAGCCCAGGCAGAAGCCTCCCCACGTCAGCACATCATCTCTCCCTCGAGGGGAATGTCACATGCCCCCGAAGTCCCCCCACCTCGTGTGCCATGTGCCGTGGGTGTCCCCCTGTCCCACCTACTGCCTGAGGACAGCAGTCGTGCTGAGGGTGGGGGGAAGCTGCAGGGCTGAGAGGAGGAAGCCCTTCCCACTCCCCCCAACCCCCGACCCTAGAGGTCACCACTGTGTGATCCCATTAATATCACATTCTTGAAAGGACAACTATAGATTAGAGGTTGCCAGGGGTTAGGGAAGGGGTAGCCGTGAAAGGAAGGTGGGTGTGGCCATAAAAGGGGACAGGAGGGGTGCTCTGGTGATGGGCAGGTCCTGAATTGGCCTATGGACATCAACATTACCCTGTGATGTTGACAAGATATTTGCAAGATGTTGCCTTTGGGGGAACTGGGTGCGAGGGCTCTCTGTAGTCTCTCTTAGAAGACTTTCTTACAGCCTGACCAGTGTGGCTCAGGGGTTGAGCGTCGACCCATGCAGCAAGAGGTCGCGGGTTCGGTTCCCGGTCAGGGCACATGCCCAGGTTGTGGGTCAGATCCCTTAGTGGGGGGTATGCAGGAGGCGGCCAGTAGATGTTCTGTCTCATTGATGTTTCTCTCTCTCTCTCTCTCCCTCTCTTTTCCTCTCTTTCTAAAATCAATAATAAAAAAGAAAAGACTATCTGACAATCAGGATAGCCAAATGTGCCTCAGTCTTGGGGCTCCTGAGTGTCGCCGCAGGGAACGGAGGCCATTGTTGGAAATAGTTCACTGGCGGTGGCCCCTGCAGGCCGTTGCACTGAGCATAGGAGGCAGGGTGGGGCCAGAGGGGCCAGGGAGGGACTGCGTGCGGCCTGGCCCGAGTTACCAATTAACCGGCTCTATGGTTTTTCTTTAAATAACAAAAAATACACCCAAAGGGGAGATTGCTCCTTGCTTCAAGCCCCAGCAGAGGTTCGAGAGCTGAGTGTCCAGGGTGCCAGAGACCAGGCATGGCATGTGCCCCGGGACCAGACCCGCTGGGGGACAGCAGCGGGCACGAGAGGCCCAAGTGGGACAACAAGCTCCAGTATCTCCTGAGCTGTGTGGGGTTTGCTGTGGGCCTGGGCAACTTCTGGAGGTTTCCGTACCTGTGCCAGAGCCACGGGGGAGGTAAGCTGTGCCCGGGCCAAATCCTCTAACAGGAGGAGGGAGTACAGCTGCACCGCAGACTGGTTTGTCACTGGTCCCTGCTGCGTGTGGGAGCTGGTCCTCCTGGGAAGTAGTGATACACCACGACCCAGGGAGAAACCTGTCCCTTTGGAGTCCAGTCTGAGGGCTTCCAAGTTCTTGGGACCTAGGTGAACTCCTCAAACGCTGCTTCTGCTCAGCCTTGCCTTGGGGCTGCCCATGTGTGCAGGCTCCCGGGCCTTCAGTCCCCGAGTCTTTTGCTGGCAGGATCCTTGCTCCCTTAGAGCTCTGGCCTGGAGCATCCCTAGGACAGCAGGTCTCCGCAGGAGACCGCAGGCCCTGTGGGGAAATGCAGCCCCTCGGAGCCTTTTCTTTTTTTAAAATTGATTTTTAGAGAAAGGAAGAGAGAGAGAGAGAGAGAGAGAGAGAGAGAGAGAGAGAGAAACATCAATTTGCTGTTCCACTCATTTATGCATTCATTGGTCGATTCTTGTATGTTCCCTGACTGGGGATTGAACCCACAACCTTGGCTTATCAGGACAATGTTCTCATCAACTGAGCTACTGGCCAGGGCAAGTAGAGTCATTTTGTTGATGGTCAGAAGGATATGAACCAAAGCAGTGAGCCTCTTCGTACCCCGTGACTTGTCTCTCGGTGCAGTGCGAATGTGCCTTGCACTTTCCATTTTCCATGCAGAGGGCTTGAGGGCACAGACAGACGGGAGCCCCCTTGCCGCTCTCATGGATCATCTCCAGATCTTGTCCCCCGATGTGATGAGCAGAGCACTTCCCAGCCTAGGCTCATTCTTCTCTGGGGTCCTACCCTCTGGGGGCCGTCCTGCCTCGGTCAACTTGCCTTCCAGGCTCCCTCTGCTCCTGTGAGACTTGAGGGCTCCCAGAGTCCCTCACGGTGGTCACCTGGCTCCTCAAGATCTATGGTCAGGAGTGTGGGGAGTGTTTTTTTTTTTTTTTTTTTGGCAATTACTGTGGCCTCTCCAGCCCAAGAAATGAGGGGTAAAGGAAAGTCTGTGGGTGGGTGAGCACTCATACCACGTTTTCTGGTCAGGAATCACCCTTTCCCTCTTTAAGGGCAAACAGGTGGCTGTCCTGGTGGCAATAGGTAGACAGAGGTCAGGGCTGAATCTCATCAGGGAAATGGAGGGAGGTTCTGGGGGGCTTTGTGGCCCAACCTCCGCAGAGCAGAGCAGACAATAGCACTGTCTGACTCGGCTTCCCTGGTTATAAGAATAACACTTGGTTAAAGTTTTTTTTTCTTGATTATTAGAAGGTTCATGGCATGTAAAAAAATTTGAAAATGCAGACAGAAGAGGAAACTCGCCTGTCACTGCTGCCCCCAGAGGTGTCAGAACCTTGGGGCAAGACAGCACCTTGAGCCTGGGGTCTCCCGTTAGTAAGCCTCCCTGAGGCCCCTCCGGAAGCTCAGAACACTGACACGGAGGCAGAAGGCGGGGCACTGCCGAAGCCCTTTTGCTGCCCTTTGCATCAGGAAAGAGGGCGATGGGGAGCAGGCTTGATGCGCGGCTGGACATGCTGGTAGTTACTCAGGTCTGTAGACATTCGCCACGCATAGGCGGTTACCATGGTCAGTGCGGCGGCGGCATGCCCCGACGGTCTGTAATTAACCTTCCTGAGTCCCCATCACCGCATCTGTGAACGGGGCTGCCTGATCCAGGGATGGGGGTGGGCTTGTGCCCCCAGTGCCAAGAGGACTGAGAGCAGTCTCTGTCACCACCTGAGCCCATGGCCTTTGTCCCTGTTTTTAAAAAAAATTATTTACTTATTTTTAAATTTTTTCATCTAAGTGGGAGGGAGAGAGGGAAGAAGAGAAAGAGTGAAACATCGATGTGAGAGAGACACATCGAGTGGCTGCAACCGAGGTACGTACCCTTAGCGGGAACCGAACTGGAAACTCTCTGGTCCATGGGCCGACGCTCTAACCACTGAGCCAAACCGGCCAGGGCTATTTATTTAGTTTTTAACTCGTCTTTATTGTTAAATGTATTACAGCCATTACTCCTTTTTTCCCCATTGACCCCTTCCTCCCCCCCCCCCCGCCTTCCCCACACTATTGTCAGTGTCCATTGGTTGTGCATATATGCATAAAAGTTCTTTGGTTCATCTATCCCGCCTTCCCTCCCCCCTTCCCTTTGAGGTTCATCAGTCTAACAACCAATTTGTACTTCTTTATTATTATTATTATTTTTTTATCCTCACCCGAGGATATTTTTCCATTTTTGTACAGATAGAGTGGGAGGGAGAGAGAGGAAGGGAGAGAGAGAGAAACATCGATGTGAAGGGACACATCTAGTGGCTGCCACCCGCACGACCAACCAGGGCCGGGGACAAACTGCAACCGAAGTATGTGCCCTTAGCGGGAACCGAACCCGGGTCTCTCCGGACTGCAGGCCGACGCTCTAACCGCTGAGCCAAACTGGCCAGGGCTGTACTTCTTAATTCCTTCATTTTTTTCACCCATCCCCTCAACCCCCACCCATCTGGCAAGCAACAAAAAGTTCTCTATATCTATGAGAATGTTTCTGTTCTGCTTGCTCATTTTGTTTGTAGACTCAGTTGTTGATAGAAATGTATTAATTGCCATTGTATTGTTTATATTTTTGTTCTTCATCTTCAAGAAGACCCTTCAACATTTCATGTAATACTGGTTTGGTGGTGATGAACTCCTTTGGCTTTTTCTTGTCTGGGAAACTCCTGAGTGTCCCCGGTTTTGAAAAACTTCTTTAGGACCTATTTGTAGATATGAGAGCATTTGGTGAAATGACATGAAATGTTATTTTCTTTAACTCACACTTCTCCTGAAAACACAATCTCCTGTGTGTGCGAAGGCCCTTCTATTTCACTTTGATCACCACTGATTTTGAAAATGAGATGCAGTGATAAGCAGATAATGTGTCACATTTTTAATTTGCACAAGCTCACTATACTGAAGGTGACTATTATTTTCTATCCCATTCGTGATTATTCAGCTTTGTAAACTTTCTCTCTCTTTTTAAAAAATAATTTAAAAAAAATTTTTTTTCTTTATTGACTTTAGAGAGAGAGGGAGAGAGAGATAGAAACATAGATGAGAGAGAACATCGACTGGCTGCCTCCTACATGCCCCTCACTGGGGATTGGCCCACAACCTGGGCATGTGCCCTGACTGGGAATTGAACCAGCGACCTCTTGGTGCATGGGTCGACGCTCAACCACTGAGCCACACCGGCTGGGCTATAAACTTTCTCTTTAAATGTAAAACTTAGGCTTTGGCTGGTTTGGCTCAGCGGTTCGAGTGTCAGCCTGCGGACCGGAGAGTCTCAGGTTCGGTTCTCACTAAGGGCATGTACCTCGGTTGCAGTTTGTCCCTGGCTCCAGTTGGGGTCATGTGGGTGGCAGTCACTCGATGTGCCTCTCTTACGTTGATGTTTCTCTCTCTCCCAGCACTCCTCTCTCCTGCTCTGTCTGAAGATAAATGCAAAAATGTCCTTGGGTCCTCGGGTGAGGATAAAAAAATAAAATAAATATAAGACTTAGGTGGAATTGAGCAGAACATGTAGAGACTGACAGTGATTCCATCATATAAACACCATTTCACACTCTGTGGGGAAGGTCACAACCTGGCTGCTGAGGACCCCGTTCTCCTCCCGACAGCCTGGGGTTGTCCACAAGATCTGGGGGACCAAAGAGCCCGTCTCGTCCTCAGGCCTTGCAGGCAAGGCTGCAGGTATCAGCTGTGCCGGATGCCCGGATCTGTGGGCTCTGGGAGAGGCCAGGGCCCTGCTCACACCACTTAGCCGCCAGGACCAAGCTGTTTGTTCCGCTCCTCCCACTGCACGCAAGGCGAAGCTGGACAGACGAGCTGAAGCCACGACCTTCTCTGACACTGTGTGAACAAGGCAGCCCCATATCCTGGGAGAGCTGGTCAACAGGGGTCATGGGTTTCAGTAGGACCAGCCCAGCCCATTTCCTATTAAAACCTCCTCCAAAGCCCCTACAAGTTAGATACGGCCCAGAGATTTAAAACAGCACTGGGCTGCCCTGGCCGGTTTGGCTCAGCAGTTAGAGTGTTGGCCTGAGGTCTGGAGAGTCCCAGGTTTGGTTCCCGCTAAGGGCACGTACCTCGGTTGCAGTTTGTCCTGGCCCTGGTTGGGTCGTGCGGGTGGCAACCACTCGATGTGCCCCTTTCACGTCGATGTTTCTCTCTCTCTCTCCCTCCCACTCTATGTGAACAAAATATCAAAAAATGTCCTCCGGTGAGGATAAATAAATAAAACCGCACTGGGCTGACCTGTGGTCCGACCCCTCTCAGGGGGGCCACAGTGTTTGTCCTGCCATGTGGGTCCTCAACTGACCATCACACCCTTGTAGGGGCCTTTCTCATCCCCTACCTGATCGCCCTGGCCTTTGAGGGGATCCCGCTGTTCCACATCGAGCTCGCCATCGGCCAGCGCCTGCGCAGAGGCAGCATCGGGGTGTGGACAACCATCTCCCCCTACCTGGGGGGAGTCGGTACGCTGCCTTTCTGGGACCTCTGCCTGGGGAGGGCCGAGGGGGGCTGCAGTTCCACGGGTGCTGTGGGTTTGCTCGTCACGCCAGCGCACATCCATGGTTCAGAACCTGTGGACCAAGGAGGTTCTGTAAATGTGCAGGGAGACCCAGGCAGCGGTGTTCCTGTTCACACTCTGAGGAGGCCTCATTTGGTTCCCCTGAGGAAGGACTTGGGTGCAGGGTGTTGTATGGGGTGAGCTCAGGGTGCAGGAGGAGGAGGCAACAGGCTAGCCTCGTGGAGCAGCTGCAGGCTGTCCTGGGTCCCGCGTCCCGGGTCCTGTGTTCAGGGTCCCGTGTCCAGGGTCCTATGGGCCTGTGCACACACTGAGCCCGAATAGCCTGGGAGCTCGTGGGCATGGGTGGAAGGGGGGTTATAAAATGATGCGTCATCGGCCAGGAGATGAGAGCAACAATGGGGGAAGGCGAGTCAGGACAGTCTGTAACAGGGAGGAGGGGGGCTGTTGTGTGTCCACAGGTCTGGGCTCCTTCACTGTGTCCTTCCTGATCAGTCTCTACTACAACACCGTCCTGACCTGGGTGCTGTGGTACTTCCTCAACTCCTTCCAGCACCCGCTGCCCTGGAGCTCCTGCCCTCTGGACCTCAACCAGACAGGTAATGCAAGGACCAGGGAAGTTCTCACCCTGGCCCTGCTCAGAGCCCCACACGGTCACCCTGAAGTAGCACGTTTGAAATCTGATTCTCCTCACCTGGTGTCTCTGTTCTCTGCTGGCCCCAGGGGCCCACGGCCACAGCTCTGCTTGTGGGCCCCAGAGCCACGCCCGTGCCGGTGACGAGAGGGTGAGCGAGGACTGCTGCTTTGGCTGAATGAGGTCTATAGGTCCAGACCTCAGCCTAGCGCTGGATCAGACTAGATCTCGGCGACGTGGAAAACAGTTGTTGTTTTCAGCAGTTTGCTCACGAAGCTGTGTTCACCCTCTTTTCCTTCCGGTCATTCTGAACGGGGCCAGCCCTGAGTGCCGACAGTGAGTCTGGGCCTGGAGGCTCCCTGTATTCGCCCCATCGGCCGCACTGGGCGCCCTGGGCGGAGGAGGGCACCGGTCCTGCCCGGTGTGCCCAGCACTCCAGCAGCGGCTCCAGGAAGGGTTATGCACAGACTCCTTCCTGGCGAAGGTTAGCAAAGCCCGAAGCCCACCCGAGCCCTTGGCCAGCCTGTGACAATACCTCCTGGTTTCAGGGTTCGTGGAGGAGTGCCAGGGCAGCAGCTCCACGAGCTACTTCTGGTACCGGCAGACGCTGAACATCACAGCCGACATCGACCATAGCGGCTCCATCCAGTGGCGGCTGCTGGTCTGTCTGGCGGCCTGCTGGGCCGTTGTGTACCTGTGTGTCATCAGAGGCATCGAATCCACCGGGAAGGTAAGGGCCTTCGGGGCAGACCCACGGCCCGCCCGGAGTGGGTTGCGAGGCTCTGCTCGGGGAGGCGTGGGCATCAAGGCTGTCGTGTTTCCTTGGAGAACAGACGCCTTTAGCATTATGATGTGACTGTCCTTACCCTAGTCATACATAGTCTTTGCTCTGAAGCTGATTAGGATATTAACATAGCCAGCCAGGCTTTTTTTTTTTTAATTAATTTATTTTTAAAATTTTATTTTTGTTACAGACGTTTCTCCTTTTTTACCCCATTGGTACCCTCCTCCCCATCCCCACTGCCCCGTCCCTGGCTTTGTTGTCCATGTCCATTGGTCATGCATACATGCATATAAGTTCTGTGGTTTATCTCTTCCCACCCCCCACCCCCTCTTCTGAGGGATGTCAGTCTGTGCCCTACTTCCATGTTTCTGGATCTACTGTATTCCTCAGACTGTTATGTTCATTATATTCCGTATATAAGTGAGATCACGTGGTATTTGTCTTTTTCTGCTTGGCTTATTTCACTTAGGATAATACTTTCCAGGTCTCTCCATGTCGTCTCAAAGGATAAGAGGTCTTTCTTTCTCACAGCTGCATAGTACTCCACTGTGTATATGTACCACTGCTTTTTTATCCATTCGTCTACTGATGGACACTTGGGCTGTTTCCAGATCTTAGCTATTGTAAATAGTGCTGCTATGAACATGGGGGTACATATATTCTTCCTGATTGGTATTTCAGGCTTCTTGGGGTATATTCCTAGAATAGCCAGGCTTCTTTGACCATGCTGACATCCTACATTTTTCCCATTCTTCTTTAACCTGTTGGGATCTCTGTTTAAAGTGTGCTTCTTGTCAACAGCATGCAGCTGGGTCTGGCTTTTTAAATCCAATCTGATGGTCCCTACATTTTGTGGGGAGTGTTCAGACCACTTATATTTAATGCGATTATTGATCTGGTTGGTATAAGTCTGTGACTGTGTTTGTTTTCTACTTGTCATGTCTGTTCTTTGTTCCTGTTTCTCTCTTTTCTATTTTTAAAAAATGTAATCCTCACCTGAGGGTATGTTCTTCATTGATTCCAGAGAGAGAGGAAGGGAGAGGGAGAGAGAGAGAAACTTTGATGTGAGAGAGAAACATCGATAGACTGTCTCACGCACATGCCCCGACCAGGAATCAAACCCACAACCTGGGTATGTGCCCAATCGGTGCACAGGACGACACTCCAGCCACTGAGCCACACTGGCCAAGGCTTTTCTCAGTATTTTTAAAATAAAAACATTTTTTCTTTATTGATTTTAGAGAGAGAGGAAGAGAAAAGGAGAGAGATAGAAACATCAATGAGAGAGAACATTGATTGGCCGCCTCCTGCATGCCCCCCACTGGGAATTTGGCCCACAAATTGGGCATGTGCCCTGACCCAGGAATGGAACCAGCGACCTCTTGGTGCATAGGTCAACACTCCACCACTGAGCCACACCAGCTGGGTGTTTTCTGAGTATTTTTTATGATCCCACTCTATGTCCTTTGTTGGCTAATTAACTATAATGCTTTGTTTTATCTCGGAGTTCAATTAGGGTTGAATCACAGTCCGCCTTTGAGTGGCATTGCATGTGGTAGAAGGACCTCCTAGCCCCACACCCCACTTCCTTCCAATTTTTGAGCTGTTGTTATACAGAGTGAGGCAAAAGTAGGTTTATAGTTGTTCATATGGAAAATAATACGGTAGTTAATAAATAATAATACAAGAATAAACTCTGTGTTTCATGTACTCACAACCGAAAACCTACTCTTGCCCCACCCCGTACATTTTACTTATAATGTGTTATAAACACCAAGTACATTGTTAGCATCTTTGTTTCAAACAGCTGATTATCTCTTAAGGAATCTTACATAACGAGGAAAGCAAGCTGACAGATGGGAGCCTCCCCCTCTCCTCTCAGCACAAAGTCTAGCATCACACACATCTATCTTTTAACGTTTTTTAATCCTCACCTGAGGATAGGTTTTGACTGATTTCAGAGGGGGGAAGGGAGAGAGAGAAAGAGAAGCACTGATGTGAGAGAGAAACATCAGTCAGCTTCTCCTGTACGCACCCCAGCTGGGGATAGAACCTGAAACCTGGTGAGTGCCCTGACCAGGAATCGAACCCGCAGCCTTTCGGTGTGCAGGAGAATGCTCTAACCAACTGAGCCACACTGGCGAGGATCGTATCCATCTTTTAAAATCCGGGCACGCAGTTCCAGACGCCTGCAGACCGCAGCTCCCTGTCGTGGCCGCTCGGCTCCTGCACAGACGCGCGTGCCTGGGCGTTCCTCAGTGAGCACGCGGATGGTGCAGTTACTCTCACATGAGGGGTTCACACTGGAGAGGACTGCATCACCGAGGGAGATCAGAGCAGTCACGAGGCCCAACAAGCCGGCCAGAGAGTCCAGACAACTCTGCCGTGAAAGTCCCGAAAGACATGTCCGGGCGGCCCCCCAGTGTCAGTCTGGATTTGGGGCTTGAGGCAGCGAGAAAACAATGACCATGTTAGATTTATTTTGTGTAGATGCTGTGTGTGCAGGTTCCTGCCCCAGCCTGACAGAATGGGTGCCGTGTGGGAGAGGGTGTGGGACCCCGAGGCCCCTGAGAGCAGCCAGCTGGGGGGCCGGGGGAAAGAGGGTGTCGGTAAAGGGAGAGCCGAAAGCCTGCAGTATGAACAAGCCTGCAGTATGAACACGCAGCAGGCCGCTGCCCGGGCCGTCAGTGCCCCCCAGCTGACCCGCAGCACACACACCTCCGTCAGTCCCCTTGTGACCATCTCTGAGCTCCACATGCCCAGGCGTGGCCGGAGCCCAGCTCACCCTCACGGTGCCCTCCGCCCGCCTGCCCCGAATCCCGGGAATGACGTGACGCCGGCCGCGCAGGTGTTTCCAGCATGCCCGGCTCTCTAAAGGTTTATGTGGAACAGATACCATTGAAAAGTCTCACAATCTTTTTTTTTTTTAAGGCAATTTATTTCACAGCCTTGTTTCCCTATCTGGTCCTGACGATCTTCTTTATCAGAGGACTCACCCTGCCTGGGGCAACCGAAGGGCTGATCTACCTGTTCACTCCCAACGTGAGTGGGTCCACATGGAAGTCCAGGCACCAGGAAACACACACATAGGGCCACAGCCCAGCCCAGCCCAGCTCGTGCACCCTGGCCGTGCGGGATGAGGAGGAGGGGGAGGGGAGCCTGGGCCTCAAGGAGGAGGTCAGGGTCGGAGTGAAGGGGGCAGGACATGATTTGGGACATGTGAACTTTGGTGCTTGTGGGATGGTAGGGCCAGGGATTAGGGGAGAGGCTGGCTGGGGACCCAGTGTCTCATTCCTAGTGCCTTGGACCCCACACCTCTGAGAGCTTTGTCTAGTGGCACGACCCCACCAGGCGAGGGGGACCAAGGGGCCTGCTCACCAGAACCCACAACCCTTCTAGGCCACTCCACGCTGTCCAGATCCCAGCATACCCTGGGAGATTCTGGGGGCTGTGTGGCATGCCAGGGAAAGGGAAGGGGACACCTTCGTGTGAAGTGCACTTACTCCCCCCCACCCCCTCCCAGGCCACAGAAACACCGGGCACAGTATGCAGGTAGACCCCACCCTGGGCCATTTCAAGTTACTCAAACCCACAAACACACCCAGGTTCAAGTTGCCCAGACCCATTTCCCAGCCCTGAGGGCTCTACAGCCAAGTTCTCAACACCCACCTGGACGGGAGCTGTGGGTTATTTGACTCGTCACAGGATGGGAGGCAGAGTTTGCAAACTGCCCTTCCAAGCATGCGTCCTCCGGCATGGCCCTCAACTGCCCTTGGGGCTTGAGCAGGTGACACCACTCATGACAGCTGCCCCAGAGGGGGCCCTGGGAATGTTCCGGACAGTGGGCACTGGGGCCCGTGTGGTTTGTCTGTGGCACAGGGTTCTCCCCTCCCCTCCAGATGCAGACTCTCCAGAACCCGCGGGTGTGGCTGGACGCAGCCACCCAGATATTCTTCTCCCTGTCTTTGGCCTTCGGGGGACACATGGCGTTAGCAAGTTACAACCCACCCAGGTAGGGCCGGGCTCAGGGCGGATTCCTTCCAGCCCAGGTGCTGGGCTGTCCCGATGCTCACTCAGCATGTCTTTATGGGACTCCCTGCCTGCGACAGAGGGCAACCTAATGTGAACTTGAGACCAGATTCTGGGACTTCCAGCAATTACTGAGTCGTCCCCTGAGGGCTGGAGGTCAGGGCCCACAGCTGCCTCCTGCACGTTCCAGAGCCCCTGCTGGAAGAGGGCCCAGAGAACCCAGCCCAGGAACGAGGGCGTGGCGGGGGCGGACACGGGTCCACGTGAGCCATGTGTGTCGCCTCTGGAATCACTAAGGCAGACTCAGGCCTCCAGTCTGCCAGGAGCCACCGCCACCGTTTACAAGGCCCATCACCCCTAGCAACCACGGCGTTGTAAACTGTGCGGGAGGCCCTGTGCCCCTTGTCAACCTAACTCCTTGTGCTGTCAGTAGGTCTACCCCTCGGAGTGGGCAGGCACAGGAGGGGGAGGGCAAAGGGCCAGCTGGGCCCTGGGCTGTGTTGACAAGCTAGTCTCAGCCCACCTCTGCAGCCCGGAGTTGGAACTGGCAGGAGGGGCTGGTGAGGAGGGGCCGAGGCTGTCCTGAGACCCCCAGGAACAAGGGCAGTGTTTCTGGGTCATGCACAAGAGGCCCAGCGTGAGGGGTGTCCAGATGGGTGCTGAGGTAGCAGACCCTCCGAGTTTCCTCCCTGAGAATCCTAACCATAGCAATGCACTATGTCTGCTCAGGAATGACTGTGAGAAGGACGCAGTGGTCATCGCCCTGGTCAACAGCATGACCTCCCTCTACGCCTCCATTGCTGTCTTCTCTGTCCTGGGCTTCAAGGCGGCCAATGACTATGGGCACTGCTTGGATAGGTGAGCACAGCGTCCTAGGGCCACCAGATGGGGCCTGCTGCTCTGGGGGTCCCACTCAATGACCCTCTATTTCCTTAGGGGAGGAGGGCTGAGAGTGTCCCCCAAAGGGTGTGTCCACCTTGAACCTAGAATGTGACCTGGCTTGAAAATAGGATCTTTGTAGATAGTATTGGTCAAGTTGAAATCACACTGGACAAGGTGCCCCAAATCCATGAGTGTCCCTATACGAAACAGGAAGGACACACAGACACAGGGAAAGGCCATGTGATGACAGAGGCAGAGGCTGGAGTGACACAGCCACCAGGAGCTGGAGGGGCAGGAAGGGTCCCCCGAGAGCCCCAGAAGGTGACCCGGCCATGCCCATGTGCTGTCGTGAGACCCGTTCTGACATGCGGGCTGAGCCCGCAGAGGGAGGGAGAGGACAGGTGGCGCTGCTAGGCGGGGTGGAATGTTCCGGAGGGGCTGCGGCCCGAGCCCTGGTGAGCAGTGCGATCCCTGCTGCTTCCGCCGAGACGCCTGGTGAACACGAGCTGGTGACCCATTACCTGCACTGGGAGGCCGCCTGGGAGCTTCAGGTCAGCGTGTCCTGGTCTTGCTGCATTTAGGGACAGCACATCTGCACCATACTTGGGGGACATTTCAAACGTTAAAATCACCACTAAAAGGCACAAAAAATGTGAAAACCATGGCCCTAACTGGGCTGTAAGAAGGACACTGTCCACAGTAGAGATGACACAGGAAGGCAGTGCGAGGCTGGCCGATCTCGGTGGGAGTGTGCCACTCTGAACATGTCCTCAGATAACCGCGGAAGGGCCGCAGTGTGGACTTTGAGGTTACCAATAACTTCAGCAGGTAGGCAAACTTGCAAATACAGAAACACCTGCGATATTACTTTGAGTTGGGAGCCCTGGAGACGCAGTGAAGCTCTGGCTGGGAGGCTGGAGGAGCAGAGCTGGGGCCACCCTTCCGGAGCCTTGGGGAGCGCCGTGCTGCCTTGACTGGGGACCCACAGGTCGAGGAGGCAGGGAGCTGCCACGGCCCAGGCCCAGTTGGACCCTACGTGTCTGGAGCCCACTCTGAGGCTGAGAACAACCTTCCTCCCCACAGTGTGCATGAAGTAAATAAGCACCCCCGCCCGCCCGCCCCCCTCAAGGTATCCTTGAGACCCTGCCGGGTCTGGAGGGGCTGACTCTCACCAGTATTGTTGTGGTCCTTTCTGGGCAGTTCTGGCTGCGTTCACTTGTGGGAGCGGGGTGCCCAGTGAGTGCTCACTCGGCCTCTCTGTCCCTGTAGGAATATCCTCAGCCTCACCAATGAGTTTGATCTCCCTGACCAGAGCATCTCCAGGGACGACTATGCTGCTGTCCTCACACTCCTGAATGCCACCCAGCCTGAGAGCGTGGCCAGGCTGCACTTGGAGTCCTGCCGTCTGCAAGACTTTCTGGATAAGGTACCGAGGGGCCTGGCCTGGCTGCAGACAGCGGACCAGCGGAGAGGGCGTCACTGGCTGCGGCAGGAGTTGGCCAGCCGACCTTCGGGGACCAGTGCCGCAGGCTGGGGTGGGCAATCAGGAGGGGGGTCCTCAGGACAGCGGTCTGATAGGTGTCTGAGGCCAAGGGTCCTGGGTCCCATGTCCCAAGTTGGCTACAGGGTATTAAAGGGAAGGAGGGTCTGACTGGTGTGGCTCAGTGGTTGAATTCACATCGACCCACGCACCACGAGGTCGCCAGTTCAATTCTCGGTCAGGGCACATGCCCAGGTTGTGAGCCAGATCCCCAGTGGGGGGCATGCAGGAGGCGGCCAATGATGTTCTCTGATGGATGTTTCCATCTCTCTCTCCTTCTTCCTTCCTTTCTCTCTAAAAATCAATAAAGAAAAACAATTTTTTTAATTAAATAAAATAAAGGGAAGGAGGTTTCTTTTGCTCAGAGGTGCACCTGTGTCCCTGGCACGGCCCAGCTAGAGCAGGACCACCGCCTCAGTCCCGGTGCCAGGAGGGGTGTCGGTGCACACGGGTCTCAGTGCAGGCCGTGCCAGTGCGTGTCCGAGCGTGAGGAGCGCCAGTGCACGTGTCGCAGCGCGGGAGCCAGGCACGCGTGTCCCAGTGCAGCTGTCCGTGTCTTGCAGAGCGCCTCGGGCACGGGCCTGGCCTTCATGGTGTTCACGGAGGCCATCCTGCACATGCCGGGAGCGCCGGTGTGGGCCGTGCTCTTCTTTGCCATGCTGTTCACTTTGGGGCTGTCATCCATGTTCGGGAACATGGAGGCTGTCATCACGCCACTCCTGGATATGGGGGCCCTGCCGAGATGGGTCCCTAAGGAGGTCCTGACTGGTGAGTGTCCTCGCTGTCCTGCCTCCCACCTCTCGTTCCATTCCTACCCACTGTGCAGACACCCTCCTGCATGAGGGCTCGAGGGTCGTGTCACAGTCCCCATGGGGGGCAGGTCAGCCTCACCACCTCTCAGGGCTGGTCCCGGTGGCCGGTGCTGACTTGATGCTCACAAGGGCCGTCATGGGAGAGCAGAGGGTCAGCGGGGCAGAAACCAGGGATCTCCTCCCGCAATGCCCACTGAGGGCAATCCCAGCACCCTCCTGCCCTCTGGGCACCGTTCAGGAGCTGGGGGGACAAGCAGACAGGAGAGACGCTGTGAGGAGCTGGGCGGGCAGCAGCCAGGGCAACCTGCTCAGACCTGCATGCCTGTGCCGCAGGGCTGGTCTGCCTGGTCTGCTTTCTCTCGGCCATCTGCTTCACGCTGCAGTCTGGTAACTACTGGCTCGAGGTGTTCGACAACTACGCTTCCCTGAACCTGATCATCTTTGCCTTCTTCGAGGTGGTCGGTGTCATCTATGTTTATGGGATGGAACAGTGAGTTCTGCTTCCTTGGGCATCAGCTGGGGCTGGGGTGCTGCCCCTCTGCTCCCAGGATCCCCCATATACAACGTCTGGGCATCATGGTAGCCGGTCTCCAGGGAAGCTACGGGGATGAGACAGAATCATTTGAGGCCCCTCCCAAAACATACCCAAGAGTGGCTCCCAGGGGTCCGCAGAACTCCCACAGGACCCACCCATCTGGCTGTGCCGGCCTCCCAGCCTGTGGGAGACAAGCAACAAAATGGCTAGTCTCCAGTCACACAGGGCGGACTCCTCAAGCACAAGGATAGGTGGGCACTAGGGTACCGGGAGGTCCCCTGCCCGATGCCCTCCTGGAGGCCTCCGAGAAGTCTCAGCACTGGTCCTGCCCACCCTCCCTGGCTTGGGCCTGCTGCACACTTGTCACTCACACCTGTCACTCGCACCTAGACTCACACCTGTCACTCACTCCTGCATTCACACCTGTCACACCCACACTCAGACTCCCTCTCACACCTGCCACCCTGACCACAGCCTTGCCCGAGTGACCCTAGAGGCTGTGCTCTCTGTCCTTGTTTGCAAGCACACTAAAAGTCACCCAGTCTAGGGCCTTCACCCCAGCTCTATGGGCGGGGGGCAGTGTGCTTGTGCAAAGGTAAGGCATTGTCCACCCGGAGAGGCGGAAGTGAGAAGCAGCTGTCTGGTAGGGGATTGACCTGGTCAAGTGGAACAAACAGTGAGCCCTGGACTTCAGCCAGTGGTGGGGTCTCAGGAGACACTCAGGAACTACCTGGAGTGAAGCTGGGGTGGGGGGAGCAGGCAGAGGCAGGGTCGCAAGGGGGTCCTGCCTCTCTGTCGGTTCCTAGATGCAGCTGCTGCACTTTCTGGGGTCAACTCTGTCCCGGTCCCCCCAGGCCAGGGCGGCCCATGGTGGCTTCTCCACCCTGGGCACTGAGGGCACCAGGTCAGGCGCCAGCTTCCTTCTTACAGCTGGACTGGCAGGGGCTTTGCTGCTTCTAACCCAGCAGCTGAGCCCCCAGGGGGGAACCCACAGTTCCTGTCTAGTGGCACCTCACCCAGGGACCAGGCTTGGGGCCAGGCTGACCTCCCCCTTGCTGTCTGGCACAGGCCCAGAGTCCCTGAAGCACCCAGTCCTCTTCCCCAGCCAGACTGACCTGCTCACTCGGGCCTTCTCCACATATGGATGGGAGGTCGAGTCCTCCTCAGGACCGGAAGAGGGCTGCCCGTCTGTAGCTGCTCAGGAAGGCATGGGGGCAGAGGACAGAGTGGAGATGGGGGATGGCCTCCCTGGGTCACATCTTGGTGACTCTGGATAAAGCTGCTGGCTGAGCATGTGGGCTTGCATACATGGCGCCGGGTGGGAGAACCTAACCCAATGTCTCTGGCAGGTTCTGTGATGACATAGCATGGATGACTGGGAGGCGGCCTGGCCTCTATTGGCGGGTAACCTGGAAGGTCATCAGCCCCCTGCTGCTGCTCACTGTATTTGTGGCTTATATTACCTTCCTGGCCTGGACAACGCTGAGCTATAAGGCCTGGAACCCCCAATACGTAGGTTCTTTGGATGGGGACCCAGGGGCCCTGGGATCTACCTCGGGCCTGGCCTGGTTCTGGTGCTATCCAGGACCAGATGACCCTCACGGTGGACATTTGTACCCTAACTGACCACATGGGCTGCCTTTGCTAGGTAGCAAGTGTCACTGACCTGCCACCAAGCCCTGTCAGAGGGCTGAGCCCTGTGGCCCGGCTGTCCTGCCACTCGGTCTGGCCGTTCTGAACCTCACTGTGCCCCTTTTGGGGAGCGTGGAAGTAATTCCATTCCAAATGCCTCTTAGAAAGGGGGGCTGCCCAGACACCGAGGGCAGAAGGAGAAAAGGTGCTAGGCCTCTGAAGAATTTTCACTAGCACGATCCTGTTACATTCACACAGTAGTGCTCTGTGAGCCTCAGAAGGGCCCGAAGGCGATGTGGTGTCTCATTCCCCAGCAGGGGGAAAGGGGCCACAGGGTCTGATGATGCCCGTGGGTCAGGCTGAGGCAACCCCGAGGCTGTGGGTTTCCTCTTTTCAGAACACAATCCCCACGTTCCAGGACTGTCTCAGAGCCCAGTCCTCACGAGAGGGTTGGCCCCCATCCTGACACGCCAGCCCCTCAGCCCTCACTGCGGAGGGGGCAGCCCCCGGCCCTGTGCCTTTCCACTCATCCGGCTGGAACAAGCCGACCTGCTGCTTTACTGCAGGGGGCGGTGGGGCCAGGCTGTCCACTCAAACCACGCCCACTTGCTGAGGGTCAGCCACTCTGTCCCAGGTGGTAGGCCGGGGGTGACCCTGTCCCCTCCCTCAGATGCTCCCTCTGTGGCCTTGTGTCTTTGCAGAACCTGTTCCCCTTGCGACAGGAGAAGTCTTACCCAGGCTGGGTGCAGGCCATCTGTGCGTTCTTGTCCTTCTTGCCCGCGCTGTGGGTGCCGGCAGTCGCACTGGCCCAGTTGCTCGCCCGGCACAGACGGAAGCAGGAGAACGTGCAGCAGGACATACACCTGAAACTGCAGGACAGTGTGGTCTGCTGAGGGCGGGGAGGGCCCCGCCTGTATGCCCCTCACTCACAGATCACCCCACCCCATTATACTCACGCGGCCTCGAGACCTGTGGTTGTTGCTTCCAGACACTCGCACGCCTTCCCACGCTGCTCAGCACGCGCCCAGCTTCGACATCACAGTCCATGCTCTTCTTCAGCGGGGGGAAACCCGGCATCGGGCTCCTGGGGCCCTGCAGCCTGGGGTCCTGCACAGCACCATCTGGGTGGCCATGGGCTGCGCCTGGCAAATCCACAGGCAAACAGCAGAAGGGCCGGCGGCCAAGCAGGCCAGCAGAGGGCTCTGAGGAAGCCACACCCAACCCTCTGCAGTGGGGTCTTGTGCTGCATGAGCTGTGGGAATTGCAGGGCTGATCACCACAGAAAAGTAGAGTCCCTGGTCCTCAGCAGCCCCAGTGCCGACAGCACGCAGATCATTGGGAGGGTCTGTCACGACCACTTAGGTGAGGGGAAACCATGCAGGCAGCAGGAGCAGGAGTTTGTCTCAAGCCAGGTGGGCTGCCTGCCATGGAGAATTGTCCCAGGGAACCCACGGCCACCCCAGGACCCAAGGACGGACACTCTTCAAGGGAGGCTGCCTGGCTTCTCCTCCTGAGGTTTTATCATCAGAAACACTGCCTTTTGTTCTTCTAAAACTTTCTCAGAGACTTATAGGTGTCTCAAGAAGGTCCAAAAAGCCCTGGCCGGTTTGGCTTAGTGGTTGAAGCTTTGGCCCAAGGATGGAAGGGTCTCGAGTTCAATTTCTGGTCAAAGGCACATACCTGGGTTTTGGGTTTGATCCCTGGCCCTGCTCAAGGTCATGGAGGAGGCAACCAATCAATGTGTCTCTTACATCCATGTTTCTCTCTCTTTCTTCTCCCTCCCTTCCACTTCTATCTAAAATTCAATGGAAAAACATCCTGAGGGTTAACAACAACAAAAACAAAAAGACGGTACAAAAAGGCCAATTATCATTCAGGTTCCCACTGCCTCCAGGAGAGTGACATCACTCTCTCACTCCCAGTTATTCCCAGTTGCTCCCAGTCACTCCTTGGTGCTGGTACTGGTGCTGGTGCTGGTGCTGTCATGCACCAAGCCCTCCTGCAGCTGCCGGCCAGGACCTGCCAGCTCTGGAGCCCTTGGAACAGTGCCTTTCCCCCAACTCCTCTCCCCTCCTCCCTCCCTCCCTTTCCCCCTCCCTCTATCCTCCACTAGCACCAAGCCAGGGATCAGGTCTAAAGTGCTGAGCCTGACACACAGGCTTGTTTCTGACCTGCCACCCTGAGGCCATTATGTCCTTGGCTACATGCTGCTGGGAACAGTTCCCTTGAAGATCCAGCACATGCCTTTCCAAGCACCTTTTAAACCAGTCCCTAGTTGGGCTAACGCTCGCTGTCCATGGTTCTGAAAACCCCCAGAGGACAAGTATTATAGGGGCAGAGCCATGGGCTTGGGGGTGATAAGTATTATGGCAGGTTATAAACAGCCCATGGCAGGCCTGCTGTTGGGAGCCATCTGTGCCCAGAGCCAGCCCAGACCCCCGCAAACAGAACAGGCACTACTGCTGCCCAAGAACAGCTGGGTGTTAAAATGGACTGAATTCACCCGGCCGGTGTGGTTTGGTGGATTGAGCATCATCCCAAGGACTGAGAGGTCCCAGCTCCATTCCCAGTCAAGGCATATGCCTGGGTGGCAGACTCGGTCCCCAATAGCGGGTGTGTAGGAGGCAGCCAATCAGTGTTTCTTTCTCACATCGATGTTTCTCTATCTAAAAAATCAATAAAAACATAAAAATTATAAAAAATAAATACGTAAATAAAGCACACCCTGTGGGCTAGTGAGAGCCCCTAACAGATCATTAAAAGATCTTAGTGGTGGTATGAGTACTATTATAACCTGGTCCTGCATTTACAAAAAAAAAAAAAAAATGGGCTGAATTCAAGAGTACCCCAAAGTGTGTGCTAAGCCCCACAGGTGGGCACGTCCTGACCCCTTCCTCTGTCGAAAAGCCAGCAATGGCCAGCGAGTCTTCCTCACACGGCGCCCCTGACACACTATCTCTTCAGCCTTTTAGGGACCCTGTGATCACACGGTTATTCCAGATAATTCAGAATCATCTCCCATGTTAGTCAGCTGATTAGTTACCTAATATTCCTCACAGGTTTCGGGATCAGGGCCCTTGGGGTCATTGTTCTGTTTCTCACAGCACCCGAGGGTGCTGAGCCCACCCAGGATTGGAACCCTTTGCTCTACAGCGTCCTTCACAGCCAGGCGCCGAGCACACGCACGGGGCAAGGGAGGGGCAGGCTATGGGCCTGGGGTGAGAACCACTCAGCACTCGGGGTCCCGCAGGCATCTGCTTTCATGCTCACTTCCTCGTCACTCCTTTTCATGTCTGGACTCCACTTGTTCCACGCCATCTGTGGGGTGAGGGGGCACATGGGCTCCTGTGTATGCAGGTCAGATTCAGGGAAGACCAAAGCTCTCCACTGTTCTCCTTCACTTCTTAAAATTTTATTGTTTTTACATGTTGCCCTGAGCTTTGGCAGACAGCACAGTGGTTTTGAAAGAGATCAACCAGAAATTCTTAGTGAGTAAAGCCCGACCAAGCGTGTGTCCTTCTTGAGGGTTCAACACTGGGAAAAGATGCCCGTGAACCCCGAGTGAAAGGGCCACAGAAGGCACTTCCTAGAGAACAAGATTTTGGAGCTTCTAGCAGATGGATAACAGAGCCATAACTGATCTTCCGGGCCTGGGGTGCTAGGGAGATGCCAGAAATGCCCAGGATGCCGTTAGCCCATGGTGGCCAAGGCGTCACCTCAGGTGCCTGCAGCGGGGTCCCGGTTGTGCCCTGTCCGCCTGCTGAGTGTCCTTCACCCCAGGCAGCGGGTCAGTCCTCCCTGTCCGCAATATCAAGGGCCTGCAGGCCACTGCTCAGGGCGGGGCTCACCTCTCACTGCTCATTTCCCCTGGGCATTTACGATGCACGTAGTGGACTTGGGTCAGCCATAAACGCATGGCGCGGTTACTTGAACGAACACTCTCCGCAGTAGTAGTAAACAGGGCAATATCCGTGAACTTTGACCGCAGCACACACTCGGCCCCCTCCAAGGTCCACTCAATGGCACCTGTCACGTTTTGTGGCCCCATCAGGGACATCCGGAAGGAAGCCTCGAGACTGCTCCCCACATCACCCCAGGGGAGTGTCAACTCCCCTGGTGGGGTTTTCTTCCGATGACACCCCCTTTGAGCTGCCCCACCCCCCAAGTTGCTCTTTGTGCAATCCTTCCAGCTCTGTCTGTTCAAGGACATTTGTCCAGCAGCCTGCATAGCCCCATCTGTACAGCATGCCCCCCACGGGGGTCCAGAATGGCATGTTGTGGGTCTCCTACTCGAGGGGTCATTCTCACAGAGATGAGGGCATAACTCCAGCTCCTTCTCCTGACAACACCTGCAGCTCCGTGGACAAGTCCTTCTCTCACTGGGGCTCCTCACAGGGACTGGAGGCCAGAGTGGACTGAAAGGTGGCGATCTGATCGGGGTGTGCATAGGCTCTGGTGAGGCTACTGTGAGGATGGCCCCTTCTCCCTATCACCAAGGCCCCAGACCTCCCACTTTCATACAAGCCCCCCAGGACTCCTAGTCCCTTCTCCCGAGTGGCCTCACCCACGTCCCCATAACCTCCACACACCTCCAAATTCCTGACTGTGGACCGAGTAAGCTGCTGTCTACCCCCCAGGCCACTGCATAGGAGAGGCCCACAAAGAGCCCCCAAACCTCCCAGGGTCCCCAGCAGTGGTTCTGTGTGAGACCCTCACCCAGCCAGCCAGCAGCACCAGTAAACTCCCAGCCTCACAAGTGTGTGTGGTTCGAGCCCCAGGGAACCCCAAGCTCAGGCTGCTGACACCCGCTGCCTCAAGAGCTCCCAGGTTACCTCCAAGCGGAGCCAGTGCAGCCAGCTGTAGGCAGGGGAGGTGCTGGGCTGGGGCCTTCCCACCCACCGCCATGCTGCACCTGCCCCGGAGCACCTGTCCCATCTACCCCCATCTCCACACCAGGAGCCCTCTGGCCCCACCAATCCAAGGACCCATGCACATCAATACTCACATTTATAGACAACAGTACTTATGTGCTGCATATTTTAATAAACGTAAAAGAAACATTTAAAAACGAAGAAAACAAACAAAGGTTCTTCTCTCCACAGCTCTCACCCTGTCACTGGGGTGATGGGGTAGAGGCAGGAGGGGCCATGAAGGCTGTGTACTGCGTGGGGGCCAGCAGAAGACTCTGGAAGTGGGGGTGGCAAGCGAGTGGGGGGAGCTGTACACTTGGTTCCAGGAGGCCTGGGCAGGGCGGGGACCGGCAGGTCAGAAGCATGGGTGTGGACAGCGGGATGGGCCTCACACCGCTGACTAGGCCCCAGGCAAGCTCAAAGGGGCATGGACTTTAGACACAGCTGGGGGGTCAACTGGGGCGGGGGCTACTCCAGCGGGTGTGGACGGCTTGATTCAGGGCATTATGCAGATCAGTGGGAGGGAGCTCACGCACACCCACCACACGTGGGCCATCACTCCAGACCAGGGTGTCACCACAACAAGGAGGGTGACAAAGGTCCCTAACACTTCCCTTCCAGATGCTAATGCCCAGCCAGGCTCTCCTGCCTGCCTCCTCCTGGCTCCAGGCAGCTGCACCTGTCCTGGAAAGTGGCAGGGGGCGGGGTGTGGTGCGGGGTAGGCAGGCTCTGCTTCCCTGAGGACGTGGGACTAGCCTCTCCAGGTCGCAGCCCAGCCCGCAGCAGTGTCTTGGGGTCTCAGGGCACAGGGGCCAGACCCTCTGGGTGGAGCCAGCTGGGATGGGGCTCAGGGGCTGGAGTCCACTCCAGAATATGAGCAGGGCTGGTCATCAGTCCAGTATGGTCTTGAAGTCTGTGGTCAGGGCCGGGTTGGCCGCGGCCTCCAGGATGGCAAGTGTCGCCCTCGGGAGCTGCCGGCAGAGCTGCGCTCGGGCTGCAAGATGACTGAGATCAGACTTCCTCCCGAAGGAACCCGAGGACGTGATTCACGTCCGCCTGGGGGACCCACCGAGGGGCGAGGAAGGGACGGGCTGTGCTGAGCACACTGTGTGCAGGCCGGGCTCCAGGTGCTGGAACTTCAGCAAGAGGGGCACACCCGCGTGGCCAAGGACCAGCAGGGACCAGAGTGTGGCAGAAGCGGGGAGTGCAGCCGAGACACAGGCAGCAGGGGCTGGAGGAGAGAGGGCGGGAAATGCTAGCCTTGGAGGTGAGGAGTGGGGAGGGGGTGACAGAGTGGGCATGCCAGCCCCCTGGGGTGAGGGAGCCATGGATCTGTACCCCTGTCCTGGGGGCTCCTGCTCCTCAGACACAGAGGGCCGACAACCGCTCCTCAAGGACAGGACAGGCCGCATCTGCACAGAGGGGTGCCTTGGGGCTGGGCACACTGCCCAAGCTTACCAGCCCGGAGTGCTCCCAGGAGACACCTGTAGGTGGCGCTGTGACGGGACAGCTTCAGCAGGAAGGCGTGGAGGCACAGCCACCTTGCGGCTTCGGAAGGAAATGGGCCGGCAGCACCCTTGGTCCCCAGTGACATCCCTGGGGAACAATACACGAAGAGGCTGATGCCCCCACTGGCCCCTGCCCAGAACTCCTCCCAGGGGAGACCATGGGCTCAGTACAGACATGGGGTCCCTGCCAGGTTGTGCAGGAGCAGGGGCTCGATAAGCAGGGGACAAACGCGACTTCATTTCAGGGGCCACCCCAACAGGAGGACCACAGAATTCTGACAACGGAAACGTTTCCAACCTCTTCAAAGAAATGTCCACAAAACAGAAAGAACAGAAAGTAAAGTCTGTTAACCTCAGGACCATACAGACACAGCACCACCTGAACTCAGACTGATCACAACCACGTGAGACGAGGCTGTGGGAGCGAAGACGGGGTGACTGGACCGCTTGGTGACCCCCACTTCCCTCCCACCTGGGAGGGGCTGGGAGCTCGAGGCCCCGCCTCCTCCTGACTACTAGACTGGATTTGTGCAAGCAGCCCCCAAGCACCCAGAGAGGAGGCCGGGCTGGGAGAAAACAGGGTGAGCCAGGGAAGGCCCCTTAATCAGTCCCCAAATGTCCCATGGGGGTCCAATCAGGAAGGATGTCTGCCCACACAGCGGGGTGGGGAGATGAGGTCAGGGAGTGGTCAGCAAGTTAAACCATGCTGGGAAGGGTTGAGAGCCCAACTCCCTGCCTCCAGCCTCTGCTACCCCAGGGTGGGTGCTGCTCCAGCCACAGGTGCTCCTGGAGCACAGGGCAGCTCCGTGGCGGAATCGTGCGGTGAGCCCACAGGACACCCCAGCACTGGTTTGCTTGCACGCACCTGTGTTTTTGGCTTTCAGAAGGGCGTAGCAGCGGGATGCGGTGTCAGAGATGACACGGAGGAAAAACGAAGGGTTCTTCCGGACGTGCTGATTAAATGGGAGCTGGAGCACACAGGCGTGAAACCTGAGGGGAGACCAGGTTTATGAGGAAGGTGCCCTGGCTGCAATGTGTGCATGTACACGTGTATGTCTACAGGTACAGATGTGCACATGTACATATGCACGTGACCATGTGCCAAGCCCCTTGCCAGGTGCCTTGTACTCCTGATCTTGCCCCTACCTGGGCTCCTCCTGGAACAGCGTGCATATGTATCCATCCAGCCACCCATCTGACCCCTCACTCACGCTCAGCCTGTTGTGGTGGAAGCATCTTCCTCACTTATGGAACAGGGGAGCCAGGCCTGCAAACGGGGTTGGGGCCACACTAGTGGCCTGGAAGGGGACCACATTCTGCAAGTGGAGGAGCCTCTCCCAAGGGAGGGATGGTGCTCAGTGCAGAACCGGGAGTCCCCCACTAGCGGATATTACATCTCCTGATCCCAGCCTGAAGCCCACACTTGTCCAAGATGAGCCGAGCCCCGCAGCTCCCAGTCAGACAGTGCGCGGCGAGTGTCCTGCTCTGAGTGCCAGGCAGACTCCCTTGGCCTGACTTGCCTCAGCCCTGGCTGCTGTGACCATCTTGGTCCAGCTTTACGCAGCCCCTCCTGCAGCGGAGGGCACGGAGCTCTGACCCCCTGCATGCCTAACCTTGCATGTCGGGAAGCAGCTGACACGTCCGTGGCGGGGAAGAGAGCAGCTTTGTATCCGCTGTCGCTCTGGGACCACATGCTCCCTGACAGAGGAGCCTGCCCTGTACCCAGGTCTCTACAACATTCCCTGGGAGGCAGGTGTCCCAGGCCAGGGCCCCACAGAGCAAGGGGATCCACTGTCGGGACACAAGGGCAAGGCGGGTTAACACCGGAGCAGGGCCTTCAGTGGGTGAGGTGATGTGGCCTCCAGAGACCTGGGGCTGGTCAGGGGCTGACCTCCTGCTGACTTGGAAGCATCACCTGACTGCTCCTCACCTCTGAGGGCCCCTGGGAAGTGAGCAGGTGTCACAGCCACCCTGCTGTTACCAGGGAGGGGCCTGTGGGCACGTTTCCGTGGACACTGAGCATGCTCAGAGGTGCACGGCAGCCTGCACACGAGAGCTGTGCTCAGGGAGAAGATGCAGGGGAAGGAAGAAACAACAGGAGAAGCAAGAGGTGGCGGGCGGCCTGAGCACCGGGTCCCTGGGCTGGGCACACGGGCTCCACGCCTCCCAGACACCAAGGGAACACTGGAAGCCCACACACAGCCCTTGTGGCTAAAGCACAGGGCATGGGACCCCTGGAGCTGAAGGAAATTCCTGGTGACATTTAACAGGCATTTCCTCCAAGAGCCCCACCCAGTTCCTATGAGACGACCCTGTCTCACAACATGGCACAGCCCTGGGTAACACGAACTGAGGCTAAAAGACGATGCCTGGCTTCCCAGCACCTGGGAGGGAGATGGCTGCGGACCCCTCATCCACCCCATGGCTTACGGCCACTGGCCTCAACTCTGGACAGAACGCTTTCCCCACGACAGATGGGAAGGTAGCTAGCTCCTTCCTGAGCTGCCTGGTGCCAGGTGTCCCCTGGAAACCACTGAGCAAAGACTGGCTTTGTGCCCTGAGGCTGGGCGGGCAGGGGGCCATCTTTCTGAGGGACAGCACAACCTGACAGTGGAACTATTTCCCAGCAAAGACTCAGGCACAACCAGTGAATGGGTCCATGGTTACCCACCAGTTCTCAGTTCTGCCCCATGGCCACGAAACCTGGGGACGGGGAATGTTCTGGATGCACAGCTGGGCCTCAGCACACATCAATGAGCAGGGCAGGACTGGTGGCTGGGCTGTTTGGATACCAGAGCCCCTTTCTAGGGGGCACTGGGGTGTTTGTGGCGTGGGTGGTCATCTGCCTCCCACAACCACGTATGGGCTGTCCTCCTCATGCTCTGCAGCTCCTCCTACAACCCTCCTGCAGCAGGACGAGTTAGCCTGCAGGGACGCAGGGACACCCTGGGCCATGCTGGCCTCATACCACCACCTGGTGACCGGGAACAGGATTTCAACAAAGCACAGCCTCTGTGGATGCACACGAAGAGGAGCCTCTGCTGTTGAAAATGCTTCCGCACAAACTGAAGGTTTCAACAGATCTGGGAACCGGAGTGGGTGCTGTCCCCGGGCAGCATGTGGCCGTGCACGCCCCCCCGTGGTGGCACAGCCAAAGAGCCCACCTGTAGGCCTGCAGCAGGAATATCTTGTAAACGTTTGTGCAAACTGTCTGAAGGCTGTTCACCTGGAGCCACAAAGAAAGGAAATGTTGGAAATACATCTGAAATGTAAGTTACTATCTTTTGCTTTATCACTGGCTCAAATGGAGTGAAAAAGAAGACCATTGTCTCTCCAGTGACATCCCACCAGATCCTCACCAGAGGCCCCTCACTGCCTCGGGTGGAGTCGGGACTCTGCTGGGGCTGCCTAAGGAAACCAGGCAAGAAGGGACAAGGAGGTGAGCGCCCAGACTGGCTGGGGTGACGTCTTGGGGCCCCAAGGCTCTAAGGCCTGAGCCCACTGAGACCTCAGAGCCCCATACCCAGTGCGGAGGAACCCCAGGGATGAGGAAGATGGGGCCCAAGGAAGGATAAGGGAAGGGGCCCTCAATACACACACATGCATGTAAGCATACCCCATATGTACACACTCACACATGCACACCCACCCACAAATGCACATGTGAACATACCCATATGCAAGCACACCCATGCATTCACTCGCATGCATGCTCATGCACATACACTCATGCACATCTGCATACTTCCACACAAAATACACAACAGGACCTACAAACACACTCCCACAGGTCGACTGGGCAGCAGGTCTGAGCTCTGAATCCAGCTGGTTGTGTGGTCACCTGCTGGCGTGTGCTTACCTGCAGATCCAGAAGCAGGCTGTGACATTTCAGCCTTAACACAGCAAAGAGCTTTCGACGCATGCTCCTCCCAGCCTTGAAGCCCTGGCTGAAGGTGAGACTTGCTCTGATTGAGGTCTGGGCATAACTGCAACACAAAGGGAGGGTCCCATGACACGCGTGTCCGCCTCACACCACCACACATACCTGTGCCCCCTGCCATCAACATGTACTCTGATCATACCCCACACGCATGCGTCTGCCCACACAACCTGTGGGCTCTACCCAGAAAAGGATACCCCACTGACAACCTCTTGACACAACCCAGCTGACAACCAACAGTCCTTTGATGGGAAACACGGGGACAGAGCATGGACAGGGCCCTGCTCACCACTGCCAGCAGCTCGAGCCCGTCCCTCTCCAAAGACAGACGGACATGACACATGTCTGTTAGCTTTACTTATTGATTTTTCTTTATTGATTTTAGAGAGAGAGGAAGGGAGAGGGAGAGAGAGAGAGAAACATTGATGAGAGAGAACATCAACTGGCCGCCTCCTGCACGCCCCCCACTGGGGATCGGGCCCACAACCTGGACATGCGCCCCGACTGGGAATTGAGCCTGCGACCTCCTGGTGCATGGGTTGATGCTCAACCACTGAGCCACTGGCCGGGCTGCTTTGTTAGCTTTAAACACACTTATTTTGAAATTCATTTATTTTCCATTTACTAAACATCCTTTCTAAAACAACTTGAATGGCAGACTAACGTTTCTTGGTGTTACGTAATAGCTCATTTATTTCGGTTGTTTCATTGCTGTGGCAATTCACGCTGCCTCGAGCATTTAAAAATGGTCAAAAATCTTGGATGATGTCTCTGATTTTGTCTTAGGGTGGATTTCTCGAATTGAAATGACTGGAAAAATGTTTTAACACTGTAAGAACTTTGAAACAAATGTACTGCTTTCCAGAAAAATAGTTTGTTTGCCCCCCCTTACAAACGCACAAAGGTGCCCTACCAGGTCCAGGGCTCGGTGATGGGTGCACTGCAGGGACTGTGGGGGGAGGGGCTGGACCTTGGTGCCTTTCTGACATAACTGGACCCAGAGCCCAGGAAGTCTGAGCAGAGTTCAGGATGAGGAGAAATCAAGCAAAGTCGGGGGCCGGGAGTGGGGTCGGCACAGGAAGCAGGTGGGATGGGTCGGTGAGGCAGGAGACAGTGCACAAAGTGCCTGCACCTGCCTCTTCCCTTTCTAAGCAAACTCTGGGAGAGCCTCTCGGAACAGGAGCGAGTGCAGACCCACAGTGTGTAAGCAGAAGAGCGGGAGTTCCCAGCACAGGGAAGGGAAGGCCCGCCTTCCACCACTGACTTGGAATCTGTGCTTTTTATTCTAAAAATGGCCGACTCCTGCATCCGTGTTCACCTGAGTCAGTTCACATTGGTGCCAGGCCTGAGGCTGGGCTGTGTGCAATCTCCCAGGTTTGGGAGAAACAGGCTGTTAGGGCTGAACCGTGTTCCCCAAATGCACATGTTAAAGTCCTCTCCCCATGTGACTGCGTTTGGGGACAGGGCTTTTAAGAAGGTAACTGAGGTTCAATGAGATCAGTAGGGTGGGACGTAATCCAATGTAACTGGTGTCCTTCGAAGGAGAGACACCAGAGATGCTCAAATACAGAGGGATGGCCATGTGAGGACTTGGGGGAGACAGCTGTCTACATGTCAAGGGCAGGCCTCAGGACAAAGCAGCCTGTCCACACCTGCACCGAGGAGTTCTGCCTCCAAGACTGGGAGAGCGTCTGTGGTTTAAGTCGTCCCATCTGTGGTATCTTTTACGGCAGCCTGAGCTAAGACAGGGACCCACGGTATCACGTATGGAGCAGGCCCCAGGTGCCACAGCCCTGCTTCCCTGGCAGAGCAAAGGTGACCACGAACCCATGACGTCCAGTGAGGCTGTGGATGGGCATTAAAGAGTGTGCCTGACTGTAAACAGACTCCTGTCCAACAACACCTGAAATCTCTAGGCTCAGATCTATGTCTCTTCCCATATTTTTTTCACTCGAGGATATTTTTTTCATTTATTTTCAGACAGAGTGGGAAGGACAGAGAAACATCGATGTGAGAGAGACACATCGATTGGCTGCCTCCTGCACGACCCCGACCAGGGCCGGGAACCAAACTGCAACTGAGGTACATGCACTTGACTGGAATCGAACCTGCGACTCTTTGGTCCATGGGCCGATGCTCTAACCGCTGAGCCAAACCAGCCAGGGCCATACAATTTCCTTTTACCAAAAATGGCCCAGAAAACTGCTCACCTGGAGAGTACCCTCACCCCCACGGAATGACATGCTCCTGCCCCCTCTGGAGGGGGAGAGCACCTCGGCCTCGGACCCTTCAGGACTGTAGCCACCTGTTGCACAAAGAAGCAAGAACAGGACTGGACCAGCTCCTGCACACCTGGCCAGCGCACGCACCTGGAGTAGTCACAGAACACCTCCAGGGTCCGTGTGTCCAGCAGCAGGCCGCACCAGGGGAACAAACAGTGGGCTGGCAGCTGCAGGGGGGCTGCACAGCCCAAGGCTTCGTCTCCCATGGGGAAGTTCACGACCGTCTTCCGCAAGTTCGCCGTGCAGCCGTACTCAGCCACGCCCCTGGACAGGGTCCTACAGCAGAGGGGCCACATCAGCCACTGGGAGGAGAGGAACACCACCCAGGATCTTGGAAACACTCACTCGATGCTACGCAAAACCCTGAGGCAGCTGGGAGTGAGGGCTGGCACTGAAGGGAGGCCACCCAATCCTGTCTGGCTACTGGTTTCCAAAGGCTCTGGATGACTGGTGCTAACGATCAAAGAACAGGGTGGCTGCCAGGAAGGGCAGAGGCTGGCAGCAGGGGAGGGGAACATGAGGCTGAATCCTGAAGGCCAAGTGGATGCTACATAACCCTGTTTACAGGTAGGACAGGTGAGCCATGAGCTCAAGCTCTAGGCTGAGACAGGCCAGGTGGGAGGGCAGGCAGGGCCCAGGGATGACATATGTCCTCTCTGCAAGGGCCAGTATATCCACTCAGAGGTTCTGGTCCCCAGGTGCGACGGTATTTGTAGATGGGGTCAACATCTGCATTCAGCCAACTTTCAAGGAGGTTAGCATCCAAAATGGGGTGGTCGTTCCCATCAGTGGAAGGGCCCGAGAGAAGACCTGAGATGTCCTGAGAAGGAAGAGTCCTCCCATGGCCAGTGGCCTGAGCTCCTGCCCTTCCTGCTGCTGCCCCATGGATTTCAGACTTGCCTTGCCAGCCCCTGCCGTCACATGGGCTGACTCCTTGCAATAACTCTGTTTATGTCCCCGGTGGTCCAGCTCCTGGGTGGGACCCCAATGTACACACTATGAGCCACCTCCCTGCCCAACATCCTCAGAGCAATGGTGTCCCCAAGATGTTCCAAGATGGAGGCCATGATCCCTGTCTGCACCGTGCCCTCTGGCAACCACTGGGCACATGTGGTTACGGATGTATCTGAAGGTAGAGGGTGCCCGAGGTCCTGGATTTGTCCTGTGATCGAACTCTGACGAATTTACATTTGCACATTATCTTGTGCGGGACCCCTGTGTCACAGTGAGGCTCAGCAGTCCCAGAAGTACTGCGCACCCTGCAAGCCCTGAGGACTCCCCTGGGGGCAGACAGCGGGTGTGGGGATGCCACCCAGATGGGTTCTCCGAAAACAACCCTGCCATCACAGCAAACGGCCCCTCGGTTTTATCATTCTCTCCTTCCTTGGAAAACCACAGGGAAACAAGCCCCAGAGCCCCAGGCCTGGGCGGGACGGTGCTCTGCAGGTTTTCAGTTTGAACAAAACGAACTTCAAGGCCAGCACCCATGCGATCCTGGTGCCTCGCAACACTGTCATTTAGCAAGTCCCCTCTCTGTTCTCTCCCAATGCGCTCCGCCAAGAAGGTGATGCCGCATTAGAAGCTCCTGCTCCCCTTCATGGGCACAGCCTCTGGAGGAGGTGCCACCGCCCCCTCCACCATCCAGCGCACTGGGCGTGCACAACCTCCAAGGAGTCTCCGAGGACCCAGCCCAGAAGCCTGGCCCACGCCTGCTCCCTCCCTCTGGGGACAGCTGTGTCCTGGTGCCACGCTGTCAGCTCCAGGCTCCTGCACTGTATGCCCGGGTTCTCAGAATAGCACGACGGTGCCACACGACCTCAGCAGAGATGCTGGCACGTGGCGGAAGCGTGGACCCGAGGTGAGAATTACTTCTTGTACGGGCTAGGGCAGCTGCATGTGGCCGCAGAAGCACGTGTGTGCAGGCCCTTACCTGAGAAAGGCCTTCGCTCGTGCCAGGTGAGGGGTGACCAGCAAGAAGTCATCCACCAAACGCAGGAGCAGCCTGATAGGGAAAGATTCCCAAGAAAGGGCGTTAAATACCTGAGCTCACGTGCACAAGAACAAAGTAACTTGCGGGACTCGAGAATGGCTGGGGACGGAGGGCAGACGCATGTGAGCACAGCCACCGCTGGGTCCCCAGGAAACACCTCGCTCCCCAGTGCCTTGGGAGCCACTCACAGCCTACACTTGAGGCCCGCGACACCTCCCAGAGTTTTTTTTTTTTAATCCTCACCCAAGGACACTTTTGCACTTATCTTCAGAGAGAGCAGGAGGAAGAGGGGGAGGAAGAGAGAGAGAGAGAAACATCAATGTGAGAGAGACACACGAAGTGGTTGCAAATCGCAACCAAGGTACATGCCCTCAGTGGGAACCAAACCCGGGCCTCTCTGGTTCGCAGGCCAACGCTCTAACCGCTGAGCCAAACCAGCCAGGGCTACACTTCCCATAAAGGGCAGCCTGTCTCCACCAGAGCGTGAGAAGGGGTGAAAGCAATCAAAGGCACCCATGACAGGAACCTGTTACCCGTCTTGCTGAAGCCCGGGAAACATTCTGCTCTCCATGTCTCCATAGCACAAGCTGCACAGCAGGGTGGACAGGATGGAGCCCTGGGGGATCCCCTGACACTGGATGTAAAACCTGGGGAGAGACGGCAGAAGGAACACATGTTCGGATCACAGACACGCATGCAGACCACACACAGGTGTAGTCATACTGCTCAGACCACATAAACATATGCATACACCACACACACAGAGAGCACAGACCACACACCACCACTGCCTGGGGATATGTGAATCAAGGTGCCACACCCGCCCACGAAGCCCTGCCATGAACTGTCCGCACATGCACAACGTGTCATCAAGGTGGCAGCAGGTAGCCCTGACTCACTTGCCCCCAATCCTGATGACGTGGTTGTGCACCAGACGCAGGAAGAAATCGAACAGGCTGCTGCCGGCTTCGTTCAGAGAGCAGCTCTGGAAGAGCAAGTGGGAGATGCATGTGGGTGAGCAGGACACACAAGCAAGAGAGGCGCAGGGTGATGGTGGGGGTGGGGGGCAGCAGCAGATGAGCAGGGACAGTGTGGGCCATCCGTGGCTCTGGCTGGGCTCAGACCCATGCTCACTGGCCCAGACAGCGTATGCCACACACTGTGATTCTGTGGCACATGGTGGGGACCTGGTGGCCAAAGGAAAGGCATCTGGAGGTCTCAGAGCCATTCTTGAAGGACCGGCTCGATCCTAAAACTGGTTCTGTAGAAAGCCACAGACTCAGGAAGTCTCTGAGGGCTCATGCACAAGAAAAATGGGTTTCCCACCCGATGGGTCAATTCAAGGTAGGTCTACAGGTCAAATGCAACGTGTCTTCCTAAAGAAAGGGGACATGTTTTCTTTTGACCTCAAGATCAAAACTGAGGGAGAAGACATCTCTAGCAAACCTTAAGCAGCTGGACGGCACACAGAATTCAGCGAGGTGACAAAAAGAGAAAAGCAGCTGACGGCAGAAGCAAGTTCTGCTGAGGAGGGTGGCCTCAAGGTCCGCCCTTACCAACCTGCTCGATGACCACGGCGTCCCTCAGCGAGCGCGTCTTCTGCAGTTCTTGCACGAACTGTTTCATGTAAGGCTGCAGGTCTGTGAAGGTGGACACCTGCCAGTGAAGAGGACAGGGTGTGAGGTAGGCGAATGCCTCTGTCCCCGAGCCCCGGCCTGGACATCGACAAGCAGAAGTCATGTCATGGAAGACTAAGTGGGGATTGGGACAAATCCCAGGAAGGCCCTGCTGTGCAGCCTGTGTTCGGAAAGGGAGAACGGAGATGCTGAGGAGGAGGAGAGAGCTACAAAATCACTGGCACACCACCTCCAGTCACCCCCCATGACTCCTAAGCCCACGGATGAATGCAGATGCACGTTTCTTGGGGGTGTTGGAGAGGTAGGAAGCAGGTGGACTTAAAGAGTCCCAGTCCTAGGTACGTCCCACCTTCTCTCCCTGAGGCCTGTCTGATCCCGGGAGGTGGAACTCGAGCAGAAAGTGGGAGGCTACAACTGAAGACAGTCGGAGCTCAGGGCCATCAAAGCTGGGATTTGGGTCAGGTCCTGGGAGGAGCAGCCGCAGATAGAGGAGTCAAAAGTATGCGTGATTTCTTCTTCAGGCCTTGCCAACTCCCAGTGTCAGGAGCTCTGGGGAGACCGCTGGACCTGGCAGAAGCTGGAGCTCAGTCGAGTATGATCACAGCAGTCCTGGGGCTGAGGGGAGCCCGGGCCCACCGGGGGCTGCACACCTACTCAGGCAAGACAGCAGAGGGCCACAGGCAGGAAGGAGCAAAATGAAGGAGACAAGCCCCACACAGGGTAAAGACGGCCCTAGCAGAATTAAGGTTGTCCACTACTCCAACTGTCAGGAAAATATTATTCTCTCTAGAGGAAAACATTATGTAAAATCTTTTTTTTTTTAATCCTCACCTGAGGATATTTTTGCATCTATCTTCAGATTGAGCGAGAGGGAGAGGCAGGAGAGAGTGAGAAACATTGACAGGAGAGAGACACATCGAGTGGCTGCCACCACACAACCCCAACCGGGGCCGGGGACAAACTGCAACTGAGGTACATGCCCTTAGTGGGAATCGAACCCAGAACTCTCTGGACATGGCTGACGCTCTAACCGCTGAACCAAACCGGCCAGGGCTATTTATTTATTTATTTAATTTATTTTTCTTATCCTCACCCAAGGACATTTTTTCCATTTTTTGTTCGGATAGAGTGGGAGGGAGAGAGGAACAGAGAGAAAGAGAGAAACATCGACGTGAAAGGGACACATTGAGTGGCTGCCACCCGCACAACCAACCAGGGCCAGGGACAAACTGCAACCGAGGTACGTGCCCTTAGCAGGAACCGAACCCGGGTCTCTCTGGACCACAGGCCGACGCTCTAACCTCTGAGCCAAACTGGCCAGGGCCAATAAGTGGGTTTCACAGCACATTAGAAACAGAAAAAGGGAAGATTAGTGACCTGGAAGGCAGGTTCACGAGAAATCTGGATTTACATAAGGAGAAACAGTAGTTTAAAAATACCATACACAAAAAAGTGATTCAAAATGGACCCTGTACCTAAATGTGAAAACTGAAACAATAAACATCTTGAAGGAAAACATGTAAGAATGGCATCACGACTCAAGGGAAAGTTTCTCAAACAGAACACTATTTCAGCCATAAACCAAGACTCCACTTGCAACTAAAAGGTGAGGCAAACCAAGGCATACACCTAACAGAGGACTTGTACCCAGAACCCGCAAAGATCACCTATAAATCAACAACAAAGGCAGACAGCCCGTCAGAGTGGGGGGGAGCCTTGAACAGGCATTCACGTGAGAGATATCCACGTTAGGGTGGATATGAAGGTCATCAGGAATGCAAATCGCAACCACACAAGATGCTGCACACGCCCTCAGGAAATTCGGCTGCCACCTGAGCGCTGATGCAGGTGTGTGAGCATGGGCACACCTGGCCCTCCTGTGCAGCACCACTTTGTGTCCCCATGGCTGCTCCCTGGAGCCCAGGCCTGGCCGACGACCACAGTGGAGACAAGTGCTCCATGGTCACTCTGGCACAGGAACACTCTTTGGCGACATTTGAGACTAAATAAAGCATGCCCATGACCTGGCAACCCCACCCCTGAATCCACCAACTAACATATCACAGTAATACGCATGTTTATTTGGCCCAGCAGGGTTCAAACCTGCCAACCCAAACCAACAAAGGCCCACCAGCAGCGGAAAGCAGAGCCACACTGTGCAGTGTGGGCACAGGAACAGGCCCAGGGCGGGTGCCCAGCTGCTTCTCAGATTCCCTGGGGAACAACAGAAACCAGACGAGAAGGGCATTCTGTCTGATTCAAGTTCACAGAATCTGAGACAGGTAAGAGTCTGCATGATCGAGATCAGAGTGGTAGGCGCCTGGGGAGCACGGGGAGTCTTGCAGCTGCTGGTGACTTTCTATACTTTGATATAGGTGGGGGAACCACCTGCTCACAAATGTCTAATTTCACTGTGTTGCTCACTCAAGATCTGCAATCCACACTCACCTGACTCACCAGGGCATGCTTTTCCCAAGAACGTCTGGGGGGGACTCCTGCACCCTCCTGCCTTCCCCACAGTGCAGCTTTGGGAGGGCTGGGTGCCCTCACACTGCAACATGTTCATGACAACTGCTCGGAAACCCCCAAACGCTGGCTGGGCCTCAGGTGCAACCTGAGTTCCAGTTGTCCTTTCCCAGCAACAGCCTCAGGCCGCTGGCCACTGTGAGAAGGGGCACCCTGGACCCTCAGCCGCACCTCAGAGGCAGAGCGGTAAGCGAGCCCAGGTCTCCTGGGCGAGGTGCCCGCTGGCCCTCTCTCACAGACCCGGCACAGTCAGCCATAAAACACTCGGCTCCACCGTGCAGCCACGGGCCAGGCCTGGGCTCCTGGGGCAGCTGTGGGGACACCAAAGAAACACGCGTGACTCTGCTGCCATCTCCTCGCACAAACCCAGGGGCCCTGGGAAGGGACAGCAGGCGGGAGTGGCCTGAAAGGAGGACCGACTGTGACATGAACATGAGGATGGCAGGACAGAGGCACCCCCAGCACCGGGAGCCCATGAAGTGCCACTCAGCGCCCGTGAGGGAGGGCAGGACCGCAGGGGCAGACGCGGCCCCGCCTCAGGCACACACCCGTGGGACTCACGTGTCTTTTGAAGGACCTCCGGATGTGTCCGCGGGCAGTCCTCTGGACCACGGCGTACTGGCGCAGGCAGTACGTGTGCTCTTGGGGCTTCACTATGCTGGCGATCACCTCCACCAGCCTGTCCTGAGGGAGGGCGTCGTACGCGCCCATCACGTCCACCTGCGTGGATGGAGGTGCCTTTACAGGCTGCTCACACTCACCTTGGCGCCCTGAATCCTGGGTCCCACCCTTTTTCCAAGCTGGGGCCCCAGCCTGCCCTTAGAAACCCCTGGGGTGATGGACATGGCAAGACCAGGGAGCCCCTGAACACCCTTCCCAGAGCCCCATGCCAGCCACATACACCTGCTGCCCCACTGCAGGGCTCTTGCTGAGACACCCCCACTTCCCCAGACTCTGAGCACCCCAGGGTGGCTCTAAGCTCCTCTCTCCACACCCCAAACCGTGACACTCCAGCGTGGACCTGTGTCCCTCTGAGTGCAGGTCGGTGAGCAGGACGTCCCTGGTGGATGGCCTGGGTGCTAGGGCACCCAGCGGCTTTGTGGGCTGAGCCAAGGTGTATTGCCTTCTCAGAAGGGGGTCTCCCCGACACCTAGAGCAGGCGGCAGTGTCATATTCTCCCCAAGAACAGGGACCCCTGTGAAACTGGGGTGCAGAACTGCAGAGTCCATGCCAACAAGGAAGAATCAAAGCTTCTGGCCCTGAGAGCCAGGTGCTCCCAAAGGGAGATGGTGCCCTTCCTGCTCCCAGAAGTACCTCACCCTGGCAGACAAGCCCTGAAAATGCCAGCCACACCATACACCATGGCCGGGCCCACAGTTCGGAGTCACCCGGTGGGTGAGCCCAAGGGTGCTGAGTGAGCTCACTGGGCAGAGAGACCTACCTTGACGAAGTATAGCTGAGGCGCTGGGTCCTGAGCCCGCATGCGCAGCACGAAGGCATGCCAGGCCCTGTAGACGTCATCCATGCCCAGCACGGAGGCGCCCAGGAGGTCAGGGCGCCGCACTCGCTCATAGTTCAGCACGCTGAACAGCGTCTTGACTTTCGAGGTGAGATGCTGCACCTGCAGGGCCAGTCCAGGATGGCGGAATCGTCACAGGATGCCCCAGCCAAGGGAACCGGGGCCTGATTGTCCCTGTCCCACCTAGGAGCCCAGGGATGAGGCAGCTCTGTTTCTGTGCCCCTCCCCCGCCCACCCAGCTTCCCTCAGATGCAAGGACCAGATGGCCAATCCACCCATCGCCAGTCCCAGACCCTGGGGTATCCCCAGAGAACCCACCCTGGAACCCCAAAAACACAGTATGGAAACCCACCAAGTAGCTATACGCAGGACCATCTCTGCCACCTGCCCCCCCGCCACAGATGAGGACTTCTCTACTCACAGACCAAACCAGATTCCTAACCCACACCAACTGCTTCATTTTCTTTGGGGGGGTGGGTGGGGGGTGGGAAGGGGCACCAATAACAAAATCAACCCAAACACTACAAGGAGGCACTCAGAAGGGGTCGGACTGCTGGTGCCATAGGAGGGGGGTGCTAGCCACAGGATGAGGTCCTACAAGGTCCAGGAACCTGAAGGCTAAATGGTCCCGTTCTTCCTGTCCTTGCATCTCAGACAGTGGGCACCCCAGGGCTACAGCAGGACCACGGGAACTCTGTCAGTCCCTCGTGTCACTGATCCATGTCATGAGAACCTTGTGGGCTCTCGGAGCCTGTTCAGCAGCTTCTAGGACTGGCCTTCCCGTGAGCTCCTTCTCTGGACCCAAGACCATGGCCCATCCATAGCACTCTGTCTGCCTCGCCGTGGCCCTCAGGGCTGTCTACCTGGACACCAATCCTGGGTTTTAAATGCCGTTTCCTTAGAAAACGAAACAAAGGTGGTGACCTTTTTGTCCCTGTGGAACGTTCTGGCTCCCACGACATAGTCCATGTTCACGATTGGCCGAAGCCCGTTGGGCTTGGGGAGGAAGCGTAGCCTGGACATCAGCAGAGCAGGTTTGGCTTCCTGATGTCTCTTGACCTCAGCTGCTGAGAGTTCTCGAAGCTGTACCCTATCGAAGTGTTGTCTGAAACAGAGGACCTCATGGGTTGTGGCTCGGCAGCCACGCGAGAACCCAGGTGGGTCAACCTGTGGAGATGCTGTGCCCATGAGGCTGCACTGACACCTGCCCAGATGCTGCTGGTGCACCCTCCATTGCAGGGGCCCAGGACACCTGCTTCCCTCTGGGCAGTGCAGGCTGGGACTGGATGGGACCCCTGGGAGAAAGACCCCATGTTCTGCCACATGGAATGTGCAGGGGGGGGGGCTAAGGTTACTTGGTACAACCCTACAAGGGTCAGAATTGTCTCCCCAGCGACCTTTCCCCTGGAACCACCCACAGGGAAGGGCAGAGGCTGAGAATGCTCCGAGCTGCAGCCCTAGCAGTGAAGAGAGGCTGGAGAGCACAGCCCATCATGGGACTTGGATGCTCAACAGGCAGGGTGATGGTCCCCATGGTGAGGGTATAAGTGATCACTTCTAATCATATGCCATGAATTTTTAAAATGATTAAACAGGATGCACTGTGTATCAAGTGAGACCCATGATAAAGGCTTTCAGACCTTCTCCCCGGCGCAGGACAACTAGGACTAGGCCCCTGGTTCAGGAGTGGCCACCTCCCTTCAGAGATGTGTGGCTCAGGCTTGGGTTTGGCCCAAATGTGCATGGAGCCTAGGAACCCTGATCTGGCCACTGCAGGGTCCTCACCAAGTCCTCTGAGGACACAAGGCACCTCAGCCAGGCTGGTCACAGAAAGGAGGAGGGCCTGTGGGTCAGGCCGTCATGTCCCGAACCAATTCCGCTTACATCTGCCCCAATCCTCCACAATGTACCCAAAATAGCCCCTGGGCAGCTAAGACAAATCTACTCAGATACAAGTCAACCTTCTGGAAGTTCCCACTTCAGGGTCCTGCCTCACAGCTGGCACCTCTGTCCCCAGACACTTCCTACAGTGAGTTGCCAAGTAGGAGGGTTTATCTTGTGACACAAGTCCCACGTATTCTATGCAAATTAAAACAGAATCTGACCACACACCACATAACAGGGTAAGTGGTTTGCCTGCACCATTGTTCCCACTTTCGAGACCCTAGAGATCACCTAGCTCAAACCCCGATGCTACAGGTAAGGAAAGAGGGGCTCCAGGAATCCATGCCATTGTAAGACCACTATGGGCCAGGATGTCCCCTGGAGTAGCGGGGTGAGGGGCCTCAAGTGGGGGGAACATGGAGCAGGAATCAGGGCTGCGCTGTAGATGGGAAGAAAAAGGTCCCGTGATGCTCCAGCTGTGATACCTGATCCCAATGCTTTGCAATTGGCTCCAGACACTCTTCCGGAAGAAAAAGAGCTGGTTCTTCTGAAACGTGGTCTCCGTGACATAAAAAAATGACCTTAGCAGCTCAACAACATATGTGCCCATCAACCAGCACAGGAATTTGGCCAGGACTGCTTCTCTCAGACGGTGTTCTGCTGCCGGGACACGGCGACCCCCTGGAAGGAGAGGCACATGCTCACCTCACTTGCACAGCCCATCACAGCAGCCACGCTGCACATGCGCCCCAGACGCTGGGTCTCACAACCTGGGCAGAGAGAAAAGGCAAAGCACCTCATCAATGACACGTCCGCCTCGTCTACTGAATGGCTACATGTTGAGGTGGCAACATTTTGGCTATATTAGGCTTTCATAAAATGTACCGTTAAATTACTTCTACCATTCCCTTTTCACTTTTTCACGTGACTACCAGGACACGTTGCATTATACCCGTGGCTCATGTTCTAGCTCTACCGGGCAGCGATGGTGTGAAGCTCCACCGTCTGTCCTGGTGTACAAGCAGAGTGGAGACTGCACAGGCAAGCTCTCCTCAGCTGCTGTCGGTTGTATGACTTCAAGCAGCCTCACTGCGCAGCAAGACCCAGGAACGCCTGGTTCTCGGGCTGGACGACCGGTGAGTGGTGGCAGTCCCACGCCAGCTGAGGGATGCCACGTGCTGCGGGGCGCCAAGCATGCACCAAGGCTGCCGTCCTCCGCTGGTCCCCTGCGTTTTATGCTGTAAACATCGTGGAAAGAGGTCCACGGTGTTACCTGCCTGCCACAAGGGCCACGGAACAGATAGGAACATGCAAAGGAGAAGAAAGGGGACCCAGGGGCAGGTCTGCGACAGAAGACAGGCTGGGGAACAAAGGGGTGGGGATAAAGGTAAATACACAGGAACCATGGAAAACAGTAACAATGCCTAATTTGGGACATAACAGCATAGAGATTGGGATGGTGACCAGATTAAGACTTACTACGGCTCTTATGTTGCTCAGGAGAAGGGAAACCATTACGGGAAGAGAACAGAGAATACAATTTCTAGCTACTAGGGAGGCAAAACCAGCATGAGAACATACACAATCGGTCAGGACACAAGGAACCAGGACATGGAAAAGGCAGGCAAATTGAAGAGAAAAACACACAGATACACCTATACTTACAGAAAAATTAAAAGAAATCAGATTCTTCAGAAAAGTGTCAGATTGTCACTGTGGATCGAAAATAAACTTAAAATGTCAGTGATATGCCATTAATAAGACACAGCTAAACTATGTAGATATGAGAAGGTTGAAAATAAAAATTAAAGAATGACAAATGATATAGAAGGTAAACACTAAGCCAAAGGAAGCTAGTGCAGGTACTCTCTAGGCCATTAACACAGACTTTAAGGTAAAAAGAATTAGCAGACGGTCACCGGGAAGATAAAACTTCCTCAATGTGCATGTGCCTAGTAAAAGCACGTGAACACCCTCAGCACAGGAGGAGCGGGACCAATCGCCCGAGACAAGCACGGCTCAGCATTCAGCCTTGGGAAGGACACACCGGTTTCTGGTAGCACATAACATGCCTGATATAGTCAACACAGCCTCCAGGACACAAGAAACACTGGTGAAGACTGTCCATGCACGAGATGACAAAGCAAGTTTAAATAACTGGGGCCACTCAGACCACTGCACACTGAGCTGGAAATCAGTAACAAGATAACTTAAAATATCCACTCGTTTGGAAAATCTAAAATATGTGTCTAAATGACTCAGTGGTCAAAGAAGAAATGACAGAAAAAACACAAAAATACTTAAACACAGTTGATATAAAAATGTGAGCGATACATCAGAACATAGGCGCAGCTGAGCAGGACTGAAGGAAACACAGCCAGACACCCACCTGCGAGGTCAGAGGAGGACAGAACAAGCCTGAGAGTAAAGGAAAGATACAACCATCAGAAAAACGAATGGCACTCAAAACAAAGGCCCCACCCAGACTGCACTCTGAAGGCAAAGGCAGCCTCTGCAGGAGGGACACATGGATGGCAGTTCAGGAAAAGTGACCATGTGGTCAGAGTGAGTTGGAGGCAGAGCACAACACAGGCCAGCAGCAGTGTATGCTCACGTTAGGGGACAGGGGCTGCCATCGGCCCAAGGACAAGACAGCCCAGGGAAAGGCAGTAAGTGAGCATGGAGCAGCAGCAGCTCCTGAGTTTCTATCTGTCTTGCAATGTCTCTAGCAACACTCTGCAGGTGTGGTCAGCCGGCAGTCTGGCCTCTGGGCTGGGACCAGGCAGCCGATGGGAGTCAGTGGGCCACATGATGGGTGGGACAATGGTCAAGGCTGTCTAGACAGACGCAAAGGAGCCCAGATACTGTGGACGGAGTGCCTGGCAGGGAAGATGGCCAATACAGAGGAAGGGGTATCCTAGCAGGAGAGGGTGGAAGAGGTGACCATGGACAGACATGTTCAGAAGAGGTGTTTCAGTCCTGGCTGGTTTGGCTCAGTGGTTAGAGTGTCAGCCTGAGGACCCATGAGTCATGGGTTCAATTCTGGTCAAGGGCATGTATCTCAGTTGTGGTTCGTCCTTGGCCCTGGTCGGGCCGTGCTGGAGGCAACCGGTCGATGTGGCTCTATCACATCGATGTTTCTCTGTTTCTCTCTCTCTCTCTCTCTCTCCCCTCCCTCCCTCTCTATCTGATAATAAGTAGAAAAATATCCTCAGGTAAGAAATAAAAAAAAAAAAGAGTGGCTCAGAGGCCAAGGCTGTCCCATGCATCATTTATTCAGCCAGTGGGATGGCTCAGCCATGGAAAGAAGCAAATGCTTGGGGTACAGTTCGAGTGAGCAAGGGTGCCACAGAGGTCCCAGATGCCTGTGAAAACAGCACTGCGGAGTTGGGCCTTGTTGGAAATCGGGGAACAGTCACAGAGATCAAACTTTCCTTTCACAAGGAAATCGAAGCCCCAAGTAAAATGAGTCATGTGATAGCTAACTCAACTGAGTCTGTCTTGTCTGAGGATCACCTATCCTGCCCTACATGGTCCACAGGTGTATGAGTCACACAGTATGAACAAATTCTAAATGTCTTGTATACACAAACAGTGGCTAAGAGATAGATCTCATGGTACGTGGTCTTTTCTACAATTAAAAAGAAACAAAACAAAATAAACAAAAATTGGAGTTGCTGGAAGGGTACTTTGCTGTCTGAATCACCTGGCCCTGGGGTCTCTTGGGAGTCTGAGAAGGCGTGCCCTTCTAGAAGCCTCTGTCGGACACTGCAACTGGAATCTTTGGGGATGGGGATTTTTAAGGCCCCCTCCCAGGAGGCTGTACCGTGCATCTGGATGGGCAAGCCTGGCTGTCATAGAGGGCTCTGAGCCATCTTTCTTCTAAAAGTCCTAAATGTCTTGAGATTTGGGGGGGGGGGGGAGGGTCAAATACAGCAAAACTTGGGTCTGTTCTCATTGCTGTTCCTGTCAGGGGGAGCAGGGAGAGTGGCAGCCAAGAGGGGGCTGAGTGATGGCTGCACCTAAAAACTTTATCATCAAGCCCAGAAAACCAAAGGGCCTAGAGGGAGGAACACCACAGACCAGCTGGGCAGAAAAGTTCCTGCAAGCACCCATAGCAGCTGTCCACTTCCCTGACCCAGGAGAGTTCGGTTCTCACTCGGCTCCCTAGTGACTCTTTCCTTCCTAAAGGTGGGGCTAGGTCCTTGTGCAGGAGACAGTCTTTTCACTTGTCCAGCTGCCCTGCACTGGCATAGCAGCTGCATAATTAAAACTTAAATTCGAATCTATATTGGCTGACCAGATGCTCCCAGGAAGCCGGAGCTTTATCTCCCATCCTCCAGCAAAATGGGCTCTAGTCCCAGTCTGTTTCTTTCAGCAGGGCACTATTTCACAGTCATAAATGTGAATGTCAAAAAAGGGTTTATGAATAAGGTTCAAGAACACTCATAAGAGCTTCTGGATGCTTCCATCCAGCTGCCAGAGCCCTACTCCATGGGTCCCATCTGCTCACTGCCTGTCGCCAGCACCCGGAACCTGCCTGAGTCCAAGAAAGTCTTGCAGATTGATGCAAACTGAGTGGGAGAGGGGATCAGAAGCAGAGACCAGACAGAACCACCCAGCAGCAGCGAGAAGCCAGGTGTGTGGGGGTAAGGGAAGGAGGGGGCCCTACTGAATTATGGGTTTTGAGGCCTGGGCCTGTAGGGCTATGGCACCCACCTCCTCACCTGGGCTTCGGCACAGCCAGGCGCAGTCCTGCACTTTCATCTTCCAGCTCAGCTCCTGACTCAAGAGCTTGGCGTACTTCCCTAGAGAGATGAACTTCCTCACGTTCTTCAAGAAGCGGCGCTCGTTGTGCCTGGACCCCCAGAGGCCTGCAGGCACTAGCCTGCGAAGACAGGCCCGCAGGAACCCATACACATGCCTGGAGCTGCTGTGCTGGTGGAGCAGCTGGGCCAGGCGCGGAGGGCCGGTGTCCTCCTCCTGGGCGCAAACACCCACTCCACCGCACCCCTGGTCGCCGGACCCCAACACTGCCGCCTTCACTGGGGTGGCTGCGGCCCGCAGCGGGCAGTGCTTCCTGAGCAGCTCGCCATAGGGGCACTGCGCATGGTTCCCAAGCAATTCCTGGAACAAGGGCCTCATCCGCCAGTAACGCGCGGGCAGGCGGCGTGTCCTGCGGGGAGCCCCCCGCTGCAGGGGCTTCGAGTCCAGAAAGATGGTTTCCACAAGCCTCCGGGCCCCTGTCAGGCTGGGCTGCAGGGAGCTGAGCAGGAAGGAAGAGCGCAGCCGCTCCTTGTCACCAGAGCAGTAGAGAAACTGCTTGGTTTCAGCGACCACTCTGGGACCAGGAGCGGCTTGCGGACGTGACCGCAGAAAGAATGGGCAGCTGGCCTCGCGCTCGTGGCCCAGCAGAGGTAAGGGGCGCCGTGTCCTGCGCAACTCGCCCCCAGACCAGGCTTCCGCAATGGCTCTGACAGGTGTTACCGTGTGGGGGTCGTTGGCACTTGGCTGGTCCATCTCCGGGATCAGGCTACGCCTGGGCCTCTTGGCCTGGGGCCTTCTTACCCCAGTGCTGCTCCGCCGTCGCCTCGTACCCCAGCCCTGGGGTACCAGGGCCTCCCCGCTGTCGCCACCATTCGAGGCCTGGCGCATGGGTCCGAGGCTCGTCGGTGTTCCGCCCGCGTGTCTGGTGGTGCAGAGGTCGTAGAGTGGTGGCCCGCACACCTGGTAGGCACAGCGGGGGGCCACCAACAGGTAGAGCGAGCAGCGTGCCAGCAAGTAGGTGAGCACGTCGTCGCCCACGCGATGCAACAGCAGCCCCCACGCGCCACTGCCACGCAGCGTCTCCGTCACTGTGTTGGGCAGGTAGCTGCGCACGTTGGTCGTAAAGGCCATGGGTGGGCCGCCGTGGGCCCCGTCCAGCAGCGCGAATCCGAAGGCCAGCACATTCCTCGCGCCGCGCTCGCAGAGCCTCTGCACGACCCTGGCCACCAGCTCCTTCAGGCAGGACACCTGCGGAGGAGGGGTTTCCAGTCGCTAGGCACGGAGGTGCCAGGGAACCGGAGGGTAGCAGCAGCGGCGCCCGGCCTATTCCCTACGGTCCTCACCCCACCCCACAGGCCGGACTAGGGTCCCCCGGAAGCCCACCTGGCGGAAGTCTGGGGCGGCGGGAGGCGGCTGCGCGTCCCAGGGCACGCACACCAGGCACTGGGCCACGAGCGCGCGAAAGGCCGTCGGGTCCCCGCGCTGCACGAGGCGCCGGCCCTCGGGACCCAGGCGCCGCACGAAGGTGTCTAGCGGCAGCACCTCGCGGTAGCGGCCCCGCAGCAGAGCGCGCACGGCGCGGCACCGGGGAGCGCGCGGCATCGCAGGAGGCAGGCTGGGCTCCCACGTGCTGTGACCCAGCGCGGCCCGCACCGCGCAACTGGGAGAGTTGGGGAGGAGGACTGCCTGCGCGGAGGCCTGTCTGCGCAGAGGAAGGGGCGGGGCCCACGGGGGTCTGTGCAGGGGAGGTGAGGCTGGGGGAGGAAGGGGCGGAGCCTAGTTAGGCCGAAGGGGCGGGGTCGGGAGCGATAAGTGCTCAGCCCTTTACCTTCCCTCCCGCCCCGGGTGTAAGCACCCCTGTGTTGGCGTAGGGTGTCAGCGAGGTCCGGCGTGCCCCCACCAGGCAGTTGCACTGGACAGTCTCCTACCCGCACCCCGCGCCCCCTCCCAGGATGCAGGGCTCGCAGCAAGGGTCGCACAGCGGAGAGGCTCTGGGGGTACACGAGGGGACCCCTGGGGGACCTGGTGCACTCTGCACCCCTTGGGGAGAGGGTCCTGCTAGTTTATCATTTTCTCACATGGGCCGTGTCTCTCCCGGGCACAGGGGCTAATAAAGGGATCAGCAAAGAGATTTAGAAGGAGCAGGACAATATATAATGATGTACAATGGAGAAAATGGATCCCACTGCTTCAGTCAGGCAGGCCTGTGGGGATCGAAGGCACAGGTGCATCCTATGGCGTTCCTGGAGCTTTTTCAGCGCGAGCAGTGGGCAATGGTCATCGGGCAGCAGCATCATTTCTCCCGATTATTTGTCTCTTTGACCCAAGGCTGTAGTTTCTATTTGGCTTCTTAGGCTTCTCTTCTCCTGAGCATAAACAAAAAAACACAGATCAATTCCTTGTTAATCATGCACCTTGTCAGTCTGCCAAGGAAGGGGAGAAAGTGGAGCCATAGGCTCTCTGCAGGCTCCTCACACCTGCACTGCCCCTTCATGCCTGAGCCCTTCCAACCCAGGAGGAGGAGGGTGAGACTGGACAGGCCAGGGGACCTGCCTACAGCCTTGTGGCTTTGGAAATAGCCAGGATCCCTGCCTTCCAGCTCAGCAGCATAGGCCCTCCACAACCCTTCACCAGTCCCCAGAGACAGGACAGTTTTGATAAGGGCTGTTCATAAGAACAAGGCAGTTCAGAGTCACCCTAATGAGATTACACCCAAACCCGGTTGCTTCAGGATGTTCATGTTTGCATCACTAAGAAGTGGAGACGCTTCCAGGTCTGGGAGGCTCCTTGAGGTGACAGATCTAAGTTTGGCAACCAGTGAATGGCTGAACAAATGTTAACCTTTTACAACAGGAAGAAACTTGTTCAGGAAATTGCTTTAATTCATGGTCTTAGCATTTAAACAGGCCTCTGCTTTCCCTCCCTTGACAGACAGATGGTGTTTCAGATTTATGGTGCCCTCGGGGTGTCTGCTGCCTGGTAATCCTTGGAATCAAGAGTTGCTATTCTTGAAGTCCAGGGAGTGAGCACTTGCTCCTTTGTGTGGCTAGAGGATTTGGGGCTGCTTCAGGAAATTTGTAACTTTCCAACAACAAAGTTACTCCGGTTTACCCAAAAATGTCATAAAAATATAATAATAAAAAATAAGAATAGATGAAACCAAGGCAGAAAATGACAGGTGTGTGATTAGTACCATGTCCATGGTGAGGAACCCTCCCAGCTGGAATGGAATTGTTCACCCCCAGAGTCCTCCAGTAGTGCAGCTTCAGTTGTTCTGTCTCTGAGGTGCGAGTAATGGTCTTAAATCATTGCCTCATAAGATGTGATCAATGTTCCAAGAAAAAAAAGTGGCATTGTCAACTTAAAATAAAACAACCACAAAATCCCTTTAGGGGTCTTCTGGGAGGACGGGGATGGGCTTCACCTTACACTGGGAAGTTTCTAAACGGAGCGGATTCTGTGCCAGGAGCCAAAAGATGCTAATGTACCATTTGTTCACTGGAAGATGACGAATAAGAGACTGATGTCCCAAGATTTGCAACAATGTGCACAGTAGCTGGACACTGGGTTCCTCTGGGGAGAGAGTCAGGAGCCCTGGCTGGACTGTGACTGGGAGCTGCCCTGCAGTGCTGCCCACTGCGGTCCCAGTCCATTAGCGATGACAGAAAACCCTGCGGAGGAGACATCTGAGCAAAGGGAGGGAAATGGAATTTCCATGAACTCCAGACCAGTCTGTGTGACTTGAGCCCAGGGCTATGTCTAAATAAATGATTAGGTTGTTGGTTCCACTGCAGGACTGAACTGTGGGTGGCAGCCCGTGGGAGGGGGGAAAGATTGTATATGGGGATGAGCGGCAGTGCAGTGCTCTGGTGTTGCATGTGTCCATGCCCACTGGACAGCCCACCAAGTGCCCAGTGCATGTCCTACTGGGGCAGCCTCTTGTCAGTGTCCTGGATGAACATATGTGGCTCAGATGGACAACTGGGAGGAGGAGAGAAGACCAGATCGCAGAACCAGGATTCAAACAGGGCTTAGTGGGTCAGGCTGGGGGCCAGATGAATGCAGTGTGACATAATGGGATACACACAAATCATCTTTATGACCTGACCACAAAGCAGTATAAAATAAAAACCCATCAACAGTGCACCCTTGTTGTTGGGTGCCAGGGTCAGGCATGAGGACAAGACACTGGGAGACCCTCTAAGCTCTCTGACTCCAATCTCTTCCTGACCCTGACCCTTCTGCTTCCCTCTCCCAAGGACCCCTAGGAATAATTGATTTAGGGCCAACTGGAAAATCCAGGGCCGCCTCCCACCTCAACATGCTTAACATAATCCCATCTCTAAAGCCCCTTGTGCTGGATGAGGTCACACTGACAGGTTTCAGGACCAGGATGTGGCATTTTGGGGGCATTGTTCTGCCCCAGACACTCAGCGTGGCAGAGTACAGCTCTTCGAGGAACCAGTTCAGCTTTGGGTTCTTCTCCCAGCGTCCCCGAATGGTTAACTGCCCATAACTCAGTCCCCGAATGGTTAACTGCCCATAACTCAGTCAACACTTAGCAGAGCCAGGGTGCTGATCCTGGTACATGTGTGGGTACAGTCGTCCTTCCACTTTGCGCTTCGGCTTTCGTGGCTTCACTCAATCGCATTATTTTCAAATGTATTCATTAAAAAGTTGATTGAGACAGTGAAAATGGTACATCGCGCGCTTGGTTTTCTGAGTCAATTATACACCCCTGTATTACAATTAAAATTACTGTACATATGGACTGTAGGCCCATGTATTCGAGCACCCCCACAAACTGGTGCAACTGCTTGACCACTCCTTGTGTGTGGGCAATAACTTTTTTCCAAAAAATCAGGTGTGGTGAAATCAAGCCAATCAGAGCGTGGTATTCACTGATTGGCTATCCTATCCTCTTCCTATCCAGGACACTGATTGGCTCAGCCTCATGCAAGTTTGTTTCTCTCATACACGCTCCTACATCGCTATGTGTGGGAAGCATCTTTGCTCTTGTGTTTGCAATTTCTGAGAACTTTTATCTAAGCCCCACGATAGCTCCTAAACGTGCTGCTTCTTCTAAGCCTTCTGACGATGAAACTAAGCGCTGGAGGAAGATGCTTACCATCCAGGAGAAGGTGAAACTCTTGGATGTGATCAAAGATGGCAAGAAAATCGTGGAGGTTGCCCACCATTACGACTTGAATGAGTCTACCGTTCACTCCATCTGTAAAGATGAAAAGAACATCCGTGCAACGGCTACTGTCTCTTTCAACAAGGAAACAAAGCACGTCATGACAAGTCATAATAAGTTCATAGTGAAAACGGAGTCTACTCTAGCAGTTTGGATCAGTGACAGCTGCAAGAAAAACATTCTGTTGGATTTGCTGGTCAACCGGGAGAAGGCGAGGCAGCTCTATCAGCGCTTTACGGTGGATGAACATCAACCAGGACCCTCTTCTGCAACATTCATGGATTTCACGGCGAGCAAGGGTTTGTTCAAGAAGTTCCAGAAGAGGTATCATCTGAAGAGTGTCGTTCTCCATGGAGAAGCTGCCTCTGCTGACCAGCCTGCAGCAGAGGACTACGTGAACAACACGTTCCAGAAGATCCTTGAGGAGGACAAGTATCCAGAACAGGTGTCCTTAACTGACAAGGATCTGGTGGAGGTGACTAAGTCTGCGAGTGAGGAGGAGGAAGAGCAGCGGAGGTTCCTGGAGGTCAGGAAGAGGTTACACTTGAGCGTCTCTCGCAAGTTGTGAGAACTATTAAGGTAGTATAGGACATGATTGGCGAATGGGACCCACAGATGATGCGTGCATTGCAGTTCTGGAATACACTTGATGGAGGAATAGAACCCTACAAAAGCCTCCTCACGCATATAAAAAGTGCCAGCAACTGCCTATCACGATGTTCTTCAGCCGCGCACCCAGACACCCACTGCCTACTCCCAGTACTCCTTCAGCAGAAGATGACGACGCACCTGCTAAAGATACTGCACCACCTGAAGACTCTCCTCTGAGGTCGTGCCTTCAGAGGAGCAGTAACCTTGCTCTTCTTTGCTATGCAGTACATCTCTTCATCTTCATCGCTTCATCATCAAACAAGTTGCACTATTTTCATAGGTTAGTGGTTGTGTGTAAGAACTGTGTGTGTGTGTGTGTAATTAAATGTACAATAATAATATGATATTTGTAACGTCTAATATGTCTTATTTTCTCTTATTTTGTTTAATATATTGGGTAATACGAGTATAATGATGACTAGAGGGTGTTATTTCATGTCTAAGGGCTCTAATAATGTTAAAAAACATATTTAGTAGGTTGTAAACAGGTTTTCTATGCTCTAACTGTGAAAATATTTGATTTATACATAAAGAATCCTACTTCATGGAAATTCATTTATTGTGGTAGAGTCTGAAACTGATTAACTGCGATAACTGAGAGCCGGCTGTAGTTTGATGTCATTTTATCACCTGTGTAGAGTTGTGTGCCCAGCACTGTGGTTTCTCTATGTTCTCACCTGCATTTGGTGGTGTCACTAGTTTTCACTGTAACCACTCTGATAGGTGTGTAGATGAGATAGAGACTCTCTGGTAG